TATTTCACTCAAGGAAACATTACTGTACTATGTAGAGCTTTGTCAAGGACTATGATCAACCTCTCATATACAGACATATTTTGACTACAATAAATATTTCACAAAATCTATGTATGACAAAATGTTTGTGTCTTGATATTGTAGAAATAAAAAATAGTTTAAAACACTTCTTTTGATTGAATCTCTATCACCACTGAACCAAATTAGCTGACAGGCAAGGTAAAACAAATTCAAGAAGCATTTTATGCAAAAATTAGATATAACACTAACAATTCAAATACAATTGTTATTTTTCTTCATATTTGCATAAAGAAGTTCCATAATTCGTGCAGTTGCAATTTGCAGACAGACAATTTGTAACGGGCAGAGGATTTTACACTCCCTGCACCTACCCCCTCTATAGACATCTACAGTGTACCTATTAATTTGGGATGGGGATGGGAAGTGTAACAAAACACTCTAGCCACTCCTTTAATTACGCCCCTGATGCTATTCGTCATGCAGGCAAAATAAACAATAACAAACTAGAGCCTTGAGAATATTTCTCAAGCTACATACGTGTATACTATGGATTTTTGCACAATTCAAGAGTTCTGAAATTCTAAAGTTGCCTCTACAATAAGTTTAAGAATACAGATACATATGCATGGTATCTTACCTCTCTAACAAATGAAACATGAAATAAAAGGTAAAATGAACCATAGAAAGTACAATCCATTATTTTGTCCCCCCCCCCTCTCCCCTCCCCCCTCCCCCCCAAAGAAATATTATATATTAATAAATAAAATCATGGGTATTACGGGTATCACTATCAACTTAAAAATATGCATTGTCATTCATCCATGGTAATAAAGTTAACATACATGTACATGTACATGTACAGGGAATAATTTTCCTGGTATCGCATCGCAATTTGCTATGCATTTTTGCATGACTGCTATACAAAATATCTTTTGTGTAGCAGTTTTCTTCCATTGAAATGTACAGAATTTCATTTTAAATATTCATCCATCGGCTGAAATTGCTAATCAAAAAATTTGAGGAAAATTATTCCCTGATGTACATATTTTACTTACTACATAAGTTCTTCCGAATATGTAGAACCATGTCTGCATGATTTTTCAGCATTGGATTTACAGATAATATACATGTAGGTTGTTATAAGACGGGTTCTAGATTCGAAGTATTCCAATCGGTCAATTGAAAGCGTGCATTTATTTTTCCCACAATGCAAAACATCTCCCATCAAAAATTAATAATGCACGCTTGATACCTGTCGATATCGCTTTCACATATCTATATTTTATAAAGGTACAAACTTGCAAGTCGTACTGAAATGTTTGTTGATTTTTCTATTTTATGTATGTACCTACTGTATGCTAAGTGTGCGTCAGTTACATGTATGTGTGAAGTGCGTCGCTTGTATAAAGCATGACATGTCAGTGTGTTACGTACAATGAATGGTGGTGTTAATTTTACCCGACTGCTAAGAAAGCATAAATGCTTGTAAGTAAGCAACCAGACGGCCGACGGCTTAAGATCCTCTCCGAGGGATCTGGTAAGATTTTGTATGGTCAGCACCATTGCACTCTCTGCTTAAAGGGGGTGTAGCTTGGCAAATACTGGTTAAAGATGCTCAAGCTTGGGTATACAGAGAAAGGCATACGTACACCGCCATAATTTTGTGAAGGAAACTCAGTGGGTACATCGGAGCGGTTTCGGAGTAACGCGCGTATAATAATCGTACATAATACAGTCATAGGAAGTCTGCATGAACATTAATAGTGTAGTTACATGTACAGGGCATACAAAGTGAAATCCTGTATGTGTACATTGCGTCTTTGCTAAACAGGATCTAACAATGCCCGAACATTGACAATAATAAATACATAATATAATCTTCAAATTCCCATCAAAACCCCTCATGATTTCTAGATCTAAAATCCCTCATCTTAGATGAAATTGTCATTTTATGTATTCATTATTCTTTTATAAACACAGTCATGACAGTATTTTGAGAGCTGTTCTAAAGATTAAAGATGATTTTACATATTGTTAAGCAACGTACTTCGCAATTTGGTGTGATGGACTGAATATCGGTTTTTCGAGCAAGCGAGCAAAAAGTATAAGGTCCCATTTGAAAAATTACATGATGAATATTAAGCACAATCTAATGAAAAAAGACCGAAAAGTTCTTTTATGTAATTATGAGTATCACTATAATTAAAACATCTATAATCAAACGCGCAAGCAAGCACTATAATTATAAGGGCTCTTAGATGCCTTGAATTATTATAGAGGTACATCATGGAGAAAGAAAAGTAGGCACTTATCAGAAGGGAAAAGGACATGTACAAATGATAAGGGGGCACTTTAGGGGAACCTAAAAAAGTAGAGGCACAGTGTTCCCCCCCCCCCCCAACCAAGAATACCTCCTCTGTGGCCAAAAGTGCGAAACTAACCTAGAAAATCTAGAAATAAACCACATTTCAATTTTATATCGTGGGTCAACTGTCCCCTCCCCCATCAGTACGCCAGTGCTTCCAGTACCCTTCCATGAAATCCTACCATTGAAATTTATCAGAAGGTCAAAGGACATGTACAAAGGATAAGGGGCACTTTAGGGGAACCTGAAAAAGTGGGGGCACAGTGAAGAATGCCGCCTCTGACGAAACTAACCCGGAAAATCTAGAAATAAACCACATTTCATTTTTATTTCGCGGGTCAAATAACAACTCCCCCCCCCCCCCCCCCATAAATACGCCAGTGCTTCAAGTATCCTACCATTAATTTCTGAGACAGAAAATGCAGCTGTTATAGACCTCTAGATCTAAATACCGAGAAGTTATCCCAATGATCTGGCGATCGTACGCCTTTGGTTTGTCAAAAATATATTATTGTTGCAAGGGAAATCAGCTTTATTCTTTATTCTTTGTAATGACTGTGTTTATAAAAGCACGAAAATCATGAAAATGACAATTTCATCTAAGATGAGGGATTTTAGATCTAGAAATCATGAGGGGGAAAAAAGTGTGGCGAGTTGTCCGAAAAGGCACCCCACCCTGGACAACTCCGCTGTGGCGAGCTGTCCAGGGTATTGTGGCGAGATGTCCAGGGTATTGTGGCGGGTTGTCTTGGGGCGGGTTGTCTTTGTGGCGAGTTGTCTGGAATTCACGTATAAGGTATAGCGTTTTTTCAAAATCTAGCACCCGCGCGTTGTGCATGAGAGCATTTTCAGACCCTCGACGTCACGCCTACTGCGTGACACTTGGTAGCTCTGCCTTTAAGTGCACGAGTCCTCGCTCGCTCTCTCACTAAATTCGAAACCGCTCAAGGTCAAGCGGATCTGCCAATGGCAATTTACCCTTTACCTTTACCCAAGATTCTGGAAGAATGCTGTGTTCTCAGCAGTCGGGTTTCCAGTTCAATTTCATTTTCTTCCTTCTCGTAGTTGGGTGTCTTCTGGTAAGTTTGTCTGGCTCAGTTCTGCGTCGGGTATTCTACTCATATGGGGAGCAGAAACGCTTGTCCTTCCATACTTGATCCAGTCTGGCTTTAAAGGCATTCACCGTGGTAGCAGTGACTACCTCTTCATGAAGTGTGTTCCAGTCATTGATGACTCGTTGGCTGAATGCATCTTGACTAATCTTCGTTGAGCATCTTTGTTTTACGATCTTTAGACTGTGGCCTCTTGTGTTGCTAGTCGAGTGTTCAAAGAAGGTATCAACTGGGATGCGTTCAAGTCTATGGATGAATTTGAAAACCTGAATCATGTCGCCTCGCCGTCTGCGATATTTGAGGGAGGGAAGGTTGAGCGCCCAAAGTCTGTATGTAAGGACGGTTGCGGATGTCATAAATCATTTTTGTAGCTCTCTTCTGCACCCTCTCTATGGTTTTGGAGTCTGTCTTAAAGCGAGGGTACCATATGGAATCTCCGTAATCTATGAGAGGTCTGACAAGGCCTTTGTACAGCTTTGGAATTGTGGACCTGTCTCTGCACTCAAAGCTGCGACGGATGCAGGAGAGTACTCCGTTAGCTTTCTTGACAGCATATGCCACATGGTTATGGAACTTTAGCTCGTCATCAATGAGGATGCCGAGATGTTTCTCCTCTGATGTAGCTTCAAGGACATCATCTCCAAGGGCATAGATGTTTTTGACGTTTCCTGTGCCTATGTGTAGTACTTTGCACTTTTGTGTGTTGAAGTGCATTTGCAATTGCTCCATATTATTAGTACATCAAGGTCAGATTGGATTGAGCACAGATAATCTTTGGTGATATTGATAACTCACTGTACAGCTAAGCTAATCAAATGCCACCATTCAGTAGCTTATATTAGTTATTTTAACTACACTGCATTCTTATTTCGCAGCACAGTCATGCCCATATCCATGGCAGTACAGCTACAGTGCAGTGGCAGTTTCAGCCAGTTCAGCTCAGCTAGCTGCATCCATATATTTTGCACTCAGACACACACACAGTCAGCTGAACCAACACTGCTCAACTGCAACACTCGCTCTCTACTCTAGCTCTGTATTTTGACAAGGTTCTAATTATTCATTCTGAAATTAGTATCACATAGTTCATGTAACATATACAACACCTCATCAATGATTAACCGCTTATGAAATTAGAAGTATGTTTAGGTTGATCTCAGAAGGACTTACCGCAGATAATTCTCCGTACAAAAATACTCGGGAAATGAAATACAGTTATGATCTCGTCATTCACGAGATAGTGAAATTACGTTCGTAAATCTCGTATTTACCTATTACCTTCTTCACAAGTTTCTATTACCCAACAAGCATTCACTTTTTGGGTGCTACAAAAATGATCTAAAAACATAATTTTGTTAATTTTTATGAGATTTTCAACGTACATAAATATCCAAATAATTCATTCATTTCGACTGCGATGTACATGATATTGTTAAAAATTACTTGAGAATGAAACTTTTATTCTAAAATCAAATGCACGCTGGGTAATTTTCAGGAGCTAAAGTGCAGTGGGATAATGTACAGCCATGATGCTTCTGCTATTTCAATGCACAGCAGACGACTATCAACAAAATCCTGAAAATGTCTTCGACGAGAAGAAAGCAAAATAACCCAACAAAGTCAGCATCGGACACTAAGAAGAAGGGTCAGTTGTGTATTGACTATTTTGTCGTGTTTTTTGTTAAAATAAAATCGTATTTTAAGCTGTTATTATCTTAATTGTAATCGCTTTCATGCCGATTTTCGTCGCGTAGCGTTCAAACAGGACAATGCATGTATTGCGCATAGCTTGAGGAAGCGCAACGCAACAGTGCAGCGGTTTATTGTGAGCTGCTGTGGCGCAATGATTGATGTGACCGAGTCAGCTACTACAATTAATCTAAAAGAAAGTATGAATTTCTGCAGTGTCGGACATTTACTTTTAAACCAGTCATGAAGTACACATTTCTAATTCATTATAAACAGTATGGGCCCTGGTCCAAGAATAAAGATCGTCCACATAAACAAGGATATCCTTGTAAATGCGGGCAAATCACGTCCTAGACCCTAAATTAAAAATGAGGATCGCCCGCAATTTTTGTGGGCAATCTTCATTTACGATCCTCGCGTAAAAAACGAATTCCGCGACTACGATGATGCTCCATGATGCATTTCTGATTGACACAGCACAGAGACTTTCAAATTATGAACAATAAATCCTCGGGGGCCCTGGAAGAAGAAGAACCCATGAAGGTGGACGGTGAACTGGGGGTATATTATTACGCGATATCCATTTTTCGCATTGCAAGCACGTGGATCGGGAACCCCTACACCCGCAAAGCGCCAAAGAAAAAGAACTGTGGATTTCTCGCGTTCACGAGGATATCCTTGTTTATGCGGACGATCCACATTCTCGGACCAGCGTTGTATTTAGTTGTTAGTTGTATTTACTTTAGTCAAGTTACAAATTTAAAAGCTTAGACACTGACTTATTTTTAGTAATGATGTTATAGCAAGACAAATTCTTCAGGTAACTGGAGACTGAACGAAATATCTTTAACTTTTATGTTGCCATCAAAACAATACATAATCCAAAAAGGAAAATCCTGAATTGAATTGAACTTTGAAGCATGATGCCACAATCACTCGGTTTTAACAAAACCACAACTATTGACAAAGTTCAGTTAAATAAAATGTTCAACAGTATGAATAGGAACTTTTTTTCAACAATATATTTCAGATAGAATTCAAAAAAGCGATACCAAAACATGTGTCCAGGCAAGTTGATTATATGCACAATTAAATTCAAACTTAATTTGAAGACCATTAAATGCAATATTTTATTGATTAGTTAAGACTTATGTTGAACAACATTCAAATATTTATAATGGTGAGTGCTCTCTATTATGATACATTTTTTTTGGTTTAATTCAAAGGAAAAAGTGACAGCTTTTGGTAAACATCCAAACACACAATCTGCCCCCTCTCCTCATCTAACTTTTTGAAAACTACCCAACTTAAGGATTCATCATTGGAGACGATTGTGTCATTGTTTGGGAAGCCATGCCAAAAAATTCAAGAATTTTCAAGATAGTGTAATCCAAGAATAAAACATTTAAGATGTAATTTTATTGTTATATCATCTATTGAATCACAATTTAAGACTTGATACTAAATTTTATCAGCACTGCAGAATTTGCTTTAAAAAACAACAAAGAAACAAAATTAAACATACAGCCAATCTGTCTGTGAAAGCAACAAGAATGTCAATGATAATTTCTAGAATTATCAAATTTCATAGCAAAGCACATTCAATGATAATTCAAAATATTTCAATTCTAATGGCTTAACAATAAATGAAAGTAACTTGAAGGTCACATCATGACTCTTTTTGTCCAACTGTACAGAGCGAGCTACAAGGCCATCAAGGAATGCAGGAAAGTCTGAACCAGACGAGTCGTCTTTGGCCAGGACTAGGCCTCAAAGGAAGATCATACCAAAGCGACCATTATCTCCAGATGTTGAGCTGTCGAGCAGAAGGAAGAAGCGCAGAAAGAAGAAGGCCCCTCCAGCCAAAGTATGTTGACCCCCAACCCCAACCCCTCCCCCAAACAAAAAAATACAGGTTATTGTGGGAAATTGTAATGATGTTTTAGTTGTTACTTTATCAAATTTGCCTAGTGAAAAATCGAAAACTAATCGCTGAAAGAGAGATCTGTGTTGTTGTTTTGTATAGTATTTTTTTTGGTTCTGATAATATTTTGAATTTTTAGGACAACTACCTTGTAATGGTACCCTCTTTACCATGACATCAAGAGCGCTTTCCTGCAGGGGTTTAGCCCAGGAAATGGGGCTGGTTGTTCTAGACAAACTATTTTTATAAGAATTACAATTTTAAATGTAATACAAGCTAGGTATTCAAAAGAAAAAACAATGTTCCAAGTTATTTTTGCTATGCTCTTAAGCATCATACTATTGCTGTATTATGATGTGACAAACATAACATCATTTCATTCTTCTTTTATTTCAGTCTGTGAACATTATGTCTACACATGCAGTCCACATCAAACCAGGTGAGATGAAACCTCCTAAACTGAGCAAACATCAGAAAGCGTCGCTCAAGCCCAAAAAGAGGAAGCGGAAGAAGAAGACCTTTGTGTTTCCCATCCTTGCAGCCGATCGAGTGCCAAGAGAACCGGAACCTAGACCTAGCAAGGCAAAGGATGGAGGAACAGGACTCGCAATGAGTAGTCCTGGACCAGCTCTCCCAAAGAAGAGGGCTAAGCATATAGCAAGGAATGTCTTGGATGTGGACCTACTTAGAATGCTGCCGGCAGCTGAGTTGGTCAAGAAATTCTCCAAACACACAAGTTTCAAGGTATGTAACAAGAGTCTATGTAGCTTATTAAGTCTCACCAAAATCTGTGTGTGTAGTTTTGAGAATTCATTCTTGACATGATGCAAGTTCTAGAAAGAAAAACATACAATCATATATTTTTGTGTTTTATTACAAAATTTCAGTTCAAATGAAGAACTGAACCATACATAACCTTTACCCTAAAGGGATTACACAATTGCATCCTGGTCAAACTTTAACATGAAAATTAATAATCAGTGCATGCATATATTGTTGAATATTGTGGCAAGGCAAACATTATGATATTGCTCATGATAAACTTGCCTGAAGAAAAAAAAAAAGGTGCATTACCTGTTATATAATTGCACCCTGGAATGTCTTCTTATTCTTTGTCTGCTTCAGGTCCCAACTGAAGAACACAAAGCTCCATTGAAGCAGCATGTGTATAGCTGTAAGATGCTACCCCACTACTGTACAGAGAAGTTCTATGGCAATGATGAAGACACCAAGAGACAGATCACCAAGCATCTACTCAGACACGTTGGGGAGCTACTGACTGTCACTAACAGAGGTAAACTATTAAACATCAGTGACAAATACATAAAAAGTATTCTCTATTAGTATTTTGTATGTTTGGTGGTAGAAGTATGTTAACCCAAATAGTTTAACACTGAGTTTATACTCTTCTGACTCTGAACGGATGTTTGCTCTGGGCAAATTTCATCAAAAATAGAGGGTTCAGGTTTTGATTGCAATAAGGTTTCAAATTGGATTTATCATTCCATGAAGTGTCGTTCAAGCGTAAATGTTAGGGTTTTGACTAGTATTTGAAACTTGATGTGAAAACAATATTTACTCCGGTAACTTTTCTTCACCTTGTCCTATACTTTGCATGAGTTATCCTTAATTTGGTATGGATGGACCTAAAAAAATCCAGCATTATATAAATATGTGCCTTTAGAACATAAACATCCCTGTTGCATGAATTAAGTCTTTTTTACAATAAATGCAATATGGACAGAGATGAGATTACCAAAGTACTTCAATTTACCTGTATTCACTATGGTATAATCTTTTACTTAAAAGTGAAGTAAAGAAACTCTTTTTGCTAATCTTACAGTCATGATTGGAAATACTTGCACTATATTTCACCTCTTTTGCCTTTTTTTAAATTCTAGGAATCAATATGATGACACCAACCACAAAGAAACAAAAAAAGAAAGAAGGTAAGTATTCAGTTACATGTAGGACAAAAATACTAAAGCTGTCAAGTGAAATTTATTTTTGAGAGTACATTTAGTATCTTTTTGTGACCACCAAAATATCTGTAGTTGACTGTACATCCCATTTTATACAACACCTATGTGGATCCTTGTCATTTGATTGGAGGATTGTTGGTCACATGATATTCAATAGATGTTATATTGCACGGGCGTGCCTTTTTGGGTATATGCAGACTGCGTACCTCTCTGCCGTGCGCCTATCCCTGCATGTATCTGACGCTAAGGTAATCTGAATGTAATCGAGAAGGCTCGACTCCAACTTTAATTTATCTTTGATATAAGGAGTAAAGCATAATTTTGATATTGTGTAAAACAAATAATGAATGTTTTTCATTCGTTCAATAGTGCGAATATTTTCATTCGTTGAAAGATTAATGTTAATTCTATTCAACTCGGCTGACGCCTCGTTGAATAGAATGTTAATCTTTCAACTCATGAAAATATTCGCACTATTGAACTAATAACCATTCATTATTTGTATAATAATTCATTGTTAAGGATTCACACAATCTAACAGTTATAAAACTGAACTCTCATTGGTCCATCTGTCTTTAATGATATGATATGGTACTAAGTTTAAAAAATAAAAACAAATCCAGTAAGCAGAATCATGCATTATATTTCAGTTATATGTGCAATGATCTTGTACCATTGAATCCTCACCATAATGCTCCCAAGACGATCATGTATTATATGATCATTGATTATACAATGTATAATACTTTTTTTTCTTCTCATATTGACTGTTGTCACATGATAGCCAAGAAAGATGGTACCGGTGCCAACTCTACCATGTACATCCTACCCAGTGCCCCTCGCCCTATGAGAGTCACGCTACCCAAGAATGTCAGCTCCCGTATGAAACGCTCCAGCTACACCGTCATCCGGTCTGCAGATGGGTCTGAGAAGGGCATCAACGAGGTGGTACTCCTACCCAAGGGCAGGCTCCTGGGGATCATGAATGCACCCACCAAGAACTTCAGCGAAGACCACTTGATAGACGTGGATGATAGTTCATTGGGTTTGGATACCAGGAAGGAGAGGGTCGTTGTGAAGAAAGGTGATGGTATCTTGGAAGGAACAGCTACGAAAGTGGGTATTTGCCCCTCCAGTCTTGGTTCTGACATGACGGGGCTGAGTATAGAGTCTCTGGCTAAGGCAGTGGAAGCCATGGTGGATAAAGAGAGTCAAGGATTGAATATTCAGGCTGCAGAGGCCTTGGCCAAAGCAGCTAATCTTGAAGGACATGGTGGCAAGGGTCATGGAGGAGGAGGAGCATATCCACTTCGAGTGTACAAGAAAGTACCTGTGTCGCCACCATCGTCATCGTCCTCCGGATCCTCTTCTTCTTCCACGTCATCGTCGTCATCGCCAGAAAGATTGTCGAAGTCTAACATCAAAGTGAAAAAACTCTCAAAGGTCTCCAAAATCTCCAAAAAAGCCAAGAAGAAAACGAATCATATTCCCTCTGTAATCCCGCATGCAGTTGATGTTCCCAGTCCTGACCACAACTATGCGTTCACAAATAACCTGAATCATGGAGCCCCGCTGCATTTTGATTCCGAGGGGCAGCCTATGGACTCGCCTCCAAGCATAGATGAATGGGGGGAGGCTGATGGGTTGGATATAGACCCCTTGGTGAGCTCCATGAACGACCAGCTGAATAAACTGATCGCAGACATTGATGCTCCAGCTCCTATGGCCAGGGTGTCCAATGAGAATGAAGAGCCAATCATTGGTGAGGGGGCTAACGTCACTGTGGAACATGAGGAACTGATGGTCAGCAAGCCCAAGAAATCAAGAAGCAGATCAAAGAACAAGGTCGTGGCTCAGAGTGAAGAAGTGAAGGTATGCATGAAGCTTGATGTGTTACTGTTATTGATTTGTAGCTGCCGTTGTATTTATAAATAAGATTACATATCACTATGCACCCAAAAATTGAATAATTAAAAACAAAATTGGTTTAATCAATCCCTGAAAAACCTGGATTTTCATTTTAGTCTTCAAAAACAAATGTCGCCATGTGTCTCGTGATGTACACAAGTTCAAAGAATGAGACTATTTCCTTGTTCTGTCTAGTTCATAGTTTTTTTGTTGCTGAGTTTGTAATTGTCAAGTGCAAAAAGTAACGAAGTACCCTTAGTACAACACTGTCTTTCCCTCAGTAAATTATCTTCCTATGTTCTGTCTCTCCTTGCAGCAAACTGCTCTTCGTCATCTGCAGTCACTGGCCAAGGTGAGGAAGCGTAAAGGACCTTTCACATGTGAGATATGTCACAAGGTCCTCACTGCTGCCAGTACACTCCGAGCGCACTACAGGAGTCATGCAGGTGAGTAGTATTACCACATTTTGAATGTGACGTTTGATTTTGGCAAAGGTGGAGTCTGAGATTTCATCGGTTTTGTTTTGAAAGCGTTCTTAGTATAGGTGTAAGTTATTTAGTTTGAATCCCATTTATGGAGTTAAAGGGAGATAGTAGTCAGTTTCCATGTGCAGAAGGTCATAGTTTGCTGACTCCCGACTTGGTGGAAATACCATTAATGGGTGTCCAAAACCGTGTACCATCAAGAAATATCCGTTAGTCTGTAAGAGAGTCGTCAAGTGAGTGAATGCAAGATAATGACTTTTTCCAATGCAAAGCATTGCATAAGGACAGTTGGTCATAAAAATGAAGGCTAATCCTGGTTATTGACAATACTTGTTATTCGGTAAACCCAAAAATGGTGTCGAATTCCCCATGAGAGCTCGCTACTATGCGTCTTTAAATATGACTCTGGGTAAAGTCCTCAAACTTCAACTATTCAACTCAATTTTGGACTGAGTGTTGGCTTAATAATCTTTTTTTTAAAACTGGGGTTATAGTTGTCTCATCCATCTTGTATTATCCTTTATCTCAACCCACCAGGAATCAAGCCATACCAGTGTGAGATCTGCCAGGCCACGTTCACCCGTCTCCACAGCCTCAAGTACCACACCATGATCCACAACAAGGAGGCACGCTTCCTCTGCAGCTACTGCCAGCGACAGTTCCGCCACAGCAGCCACTACCGCGAGCATCTGCGCCGCCACACCGGGGAGGAACCCTTCGGCTGCAGCGACTGCTCTGCGCGCTTTAAGACCAGGAACACGTACAAGCGCCATCTCAGGAGCAAGCACGGTAAGATAGTGGCCGAGGACGGGAAGATCAACCTAGCCCCTGCTGCCTTGCTCACACCATGTTGAGTCTCGCTTGGTTCATGGTGTCCTCTCTGAAACGAAAATGAATGTGTTGATGAACTTTCAGAAATTGTACACATTGTAATCCACAAATCTAACATGGAGTGTGTGATTTATTTGAACATGTCAATCTCAATATGCTCTCTTGTACAATCGTAGGAGTATTAAACCCTTAGAAAATTGAAGCAAACTTTTTGTTCTTTCAATCTTATGACCTGTGCCAACACTGCATCTATATTTTGAATCCAAGATTGAAGATCAAGGCCCATCTTATAAAGAGTTGTAATTGATCCAAATAAATCCAAGTCCTCCAATCGCAAGTTTGCAGTCTCCTAAGTTGCGATTATTATCAACTCTTTAGTAAACGGGCACAGTTGTACGATTTCATTCTTAATCAGTAAGAAAAGATAATCTGAGCTAATAAATCCAGTACGAGTATTTTATAGCAGTGTGCACCCGAATACATATCTCAAGATATTATTTGTCTGACCTTTTTCAAACATTTAAGGTTGACTGTAATATACATTATTTACATATTTTCTGGGAGAATTAAGATTATGATTTTATTGAATTAAGAAAATTGTACCAGATGATAAGTTGATATGACCAGTTATGTTAACAAAAACTTTTACTAGATATTTTGATAATAATATTAAAGATAATAACTACAGGTACAGGATTAGTAGGTTCATATGAAAACAAATTCCTTTTGCAATATTTGAAGCGTTTATTCAGGGATTGTCATGTGGATGTAGTGTATCTTGGGAAGCAATAATAATGCCTTAGTAGGTTAGCAGTGCACTCTTATATATAAAGACATCTTGAGAGCATCGTAAGCAACATGTAAGAAATTGAGAGAAAAAAGGGCAATTTTGATAGAGTACTGAAACAAGTACCGGTAATGAACTTTAGCTTGTGCTGCGTATTAGTAGACTATACTGCTGTGAGAGATTATTTGCATTGCTTTCTTTCTGTCAGTCTTTTTTTTCCCTCCCTCTCACTTTCTCTCTCTGTCTGCTGTTTCTCTATTTCACTTGTGGTTGATTCATTTTTGTCAAAGAATATTGTTCAAGAGTAATAGTTTGTTTTGTGTAAATGAATTTCAAGATTTGTTTCCGATTCATCCAAATTTATATTTAGGCAGGATATGTATCAGTACGATACAGATGATTTTAGGATTTGGCTTTGTCAATTTGCTTCAAAGTTTTCTGTTTCTTAATAATTTCAAAATGAGATGTTCATCTTATTTCAAAAAGCCTGTATTAGTCTATTTATTATTGAATTGAATGGAATATTGTATAGTATTAATGACTGCTTTGAGAGAAATAGTTGTTTTATTACGCTCAAGGGAAGGTTAGAATTGTGCTATTCCCCGAGGCTTGCCGAGGGGAATAGCCCAATTGTAACCTTCCCGAGAGCGTATGAAAACAACTATTTCTCGAATATTAAAGCAGTCATTAATACTTTTATATGCCGAAAAAAAATAGACTAAAAAATAAAAAATATATTTTTTTTTTTTTTTTTGTCGAAGGTGAGAGTCGAACCCTTGCGTACAATGAGTGATGAATATTACACCAACGCCTTACACCACTCGGCCATCGCGCGCTGTTCACATGCGTGGCAGTTTTGTACAATGTATACATTAAAATGGATTGAAACCGGCTTCGGCGTGATGAATGCTTCGCAAAAGCACCCTTCTTTTACTTTTGCAATGCATATTGGCACGAACTTAGATCAAGATCTATCGGCAGATGTTGTTTTTTTTGTTTTTGGAAGTTTATTTTCGTCTTCATGTCAACAATGCAAGATAAAATTGTCGGTAAGATCGATCGAGATTCAATTGTATTGAAATTACCGACCAATCCTTCGCACACATACGGTATCCTCGATCGCTCAAACCATTTTTTAACATGTAAACCTATGGGGTAACCATGGAGGCTGACCTATTTTTTTAATAACCATGGTTATTAAAAATATTAAATGTTTTATGCATGGTTACCGGGAATTTTACAGGAACAGTTGAAGTTTATGAATGCAATTCGACCAATCAGATGGCTGGATTTCTTAAGTGAGGTATATAATATATTTTATTACAAGTGGGTCAGTAGCCTATTTAAGTTTATATTATTATCAAGATAATAGCATATATATATATATGTATACTGAATGTATGAACCAAAAGAAATCGGCAAGGGTAATAACAGTTGAACCAAGAAAACATTGTTCAAACAAACTCTCAACATGAAAAACAAGGTGACTTTGTGGATGCCACTTCTTTACTTTACTCTACTGCAAATTTGTCCTCAAACTTTCAAGGACCATTTCTCTTTACGGTACTTAAGAAACATTAAAAAAACAATATACATGACAATGTAAAAATGTTCAAGATTAACTTTGAGAAGAGGCATGAAACGTGTATGTAATATATTCCGCCGCAGAAGGCAAATTACTATGAAATTGTTTGAAAATTTAGAGATATAATACAGAAATTTAGCTGTCTTCCGTAACCTATTTTCTTGTTTAAAACTATGTCTTATTCTAACTTTTAGTAATGAAATTCTGTTTTGTCATGTTTTTTTTTTTGTGTGTGTTATATTGTTAATAATAGTGCTACATTATATTTTTCCGGAATTTGTGTAAATAATTTGTTATACTGATATTGAATTGTACGAGGTAAGAAATAAGAATTGAATATATTTTGGAAGGTTCCCCTCCTATTATGGTTTCCGTGGCAAGGAGTGATAGTTTGTGCTTGAAATACCCCAGCTGTAATGTATAAGTTAACTTCAAATCTGCTTATCAATATCATACACATATATTTTCATATATACTGGAATTTGACCACCCCAATGTATTTTTGTGTGATTGGCCATTTATCGGTTTTTACACTTGAATAATTAGCACATTAAAAAAAAGAAGAATTTTGCAGTGGATTATTTGGCAAGTATCTTCGGGCATTCAAAAGGATGTGTCTTTATTTGGGTAAAATCCTCTTCTTTTTTTTCATTCATGATAAATACAAGATACAAAATTAATGTCCAAAAAATATCTTTCCAATTCTGTCCTGATTTGCCCCGTTTTGTGCTCCTGTATGAAAAGGAAAAAAAGTCATGTTAAGTTCAGCTGTAATGAAGTATTAAACATTTGTTTCCTATTCTACGACTTAAGCTTAGTGTCTACTTATACGATTTGGACCAAACTATATTCAATTTATTATTGTAAATTAGTGTACAGTATCGTTACATGGAGTGCAAATAAATAATCTACACACTGCTACCGAGTCTTCGCATAATTGTTTTGATTTGGGATCTGAGAGAATATTGGAATTACTTGGTACAAATGCAGGAATCGACTTTCCTGCCTGCCTGCCTGTCATGAATTACTACTTTGGTTAAAATTCTGATTGGTATGCTTCTTAAACTTTCACTGATCAGAGAATTTTTGTGTTAATGAAATTCACAGCACACTCACCCCCCCCCCCCTTCTCTCTCCATCTCTCAATTCTTTCCTTTGCTCACTTCCTTTCACACACCTCACCACAGCATACATTTTCTTTCACATTTGCTATCACTATGATATCACTATGATATCATAATGTATTTACATCTCTTATCACGTTTCCTTACCCCTCTCCAACCTCATTCTTCCACCCTTTTCTCTCTCTCTTTCTCTACCTTATATTCTTGTATGACTACCGGTAGTTTATATGTATGGATTATTTTCACATATCATTTCTTAAACCCTTAACAAAAAAATCTGGAACAGAAAAATATAAATTGAGTAAAAATAAAAAGAATCTAAAGAAACGGATGGGAACAGAATTATCTATTGGTTCTGAAAACAATATTTTTTTATTGTCTTTTACTTAACAATATTTACATTCTGCCAGCATTGAAGCAACCTGCTGGTGACATAAGTATAAATGTATACAAAAGGTGCAAAAGGAGTTGCATTTATTGAAAACGTTATGTACAGAAAATACTACTATATCTGTGTTACAAGGCCAAGACAGAATATCAATCATTCTAGAAAATGAATACTATTTATGTAAAGTTCAATTTGTCAAGGCCAGTTATAGTTTACATGACATTTTAATGCCATCATAATTATATACTGTTGAATTGTATAAGTATATTCTAGTATGGAATTATTGTGGTAGAACACCATTACAATTTAGTGAAATCTACCACAATTCATACTAACACACACAGATAAGTAAAAGAAAAGGAACATGTCTTATTATATACGTCTTAGAATCCTTCTCTCAAAACAAACTGGCATCTTTATTTCCCAAGAGAATACACTCAAATATATTGCACTTGTTTAAGTACATAGCATAAGTATGGCGTGACAACAGTTTTAGCAATCCATGCGGTACTCATGATGCAGTACTGCAGAAGCATAACCAATCACTATTTCGGCTGATTCTATACATGCAAAACTTTGTAACATGGCACAGCAGTTCCAAGCATAAAGCATGAGTAAATAAACATGCCTACTTTTATTTTCATAGCATTTGCGAAACTTTCATTTAAAAAAAAATAAGAACAAAAAATCCAGCACAGCTTCATACAGCTCATCCATGTATACATGATACTGCATAAAGCAATGTAATACAATCTTATGGAAACAATTATCACTCCATTAGTACATATGTAGTTTGAAAGCCCAACAAAATATTTTTAAGCACACTTGATCTTAGGTCTATGTATTATTATGTCAGTTTTATTCTTTAAAGGCACTTATTCAGTCCTCTGAGTTGCTCTGTCTTATTTTTAATAACTTTTTTTCTTTCTTCTCGCTTAACTGACAGAAAAATTGAAGAAATTAGGAAACTGAATACTATCAAAACACAGTTTATCACATGGAAGAAAACAAATTTGTATTTTAGGAGGAATATAAGAACTTATCAGCAATCTTGCAAGTTATCAAAGATATTACATGCCACTAATCAGAAATACCATCATTGAACAAATAAATCACACGACTGCTCAAATACTGGTGTATATTGTAGGGTGTATTAAACTTTTCAAGTCATTTTTTTTTTTACTCCTCTGTTCTCGTTGGAATTCATTTTCTCTTGGTATTGATATTTCATCTAGTACCTGACCTTTAGCATTACTCGATACAAGGTCTTATCTCTTCATGGTATGCATGTCTATGGAACACTTCTAGCATTATGTTGTGGATTTGGCTACACAAACACTGTATAGCTGAGCAATAAGATTACAAATGAGCATATAATAATTCGCTGGTATTAATAAAAGCAGAAAAACAAGAGAAACTAATCAGTGAAAATTTCAGCAATATCCGACTAAAAGGAGGAAATTTAGTTGTCATTAGTGAAACACAATTTGCTCTTTTTGTTAGTTACTTATGACAGAAAAAGAAGAAAGAATTTGTGTTTGATCGGAAATTCAAAATTTTTCTTATCTTTCTCATTTTTAATCAGTTTTTGCCCATGCTTTCACTAATTTGTTTCTCTTCTTTTCTTCCTTTTTTTATACCAGCTAATTATCAGGATGGACTCCCTACTGGTGGTAGATATTAAATATTTGGTATATGCAACATGTACAGCTGAGCGCTATACTGGCTATTTTGATAAGGTTCTTAATCCCTAAGCTGGGGGGTGTTTCACAAAGGTCCTAAGTCAAACTTAACTTTAAGTTGGACTTAAACATTATAGAGAGCCATTAGTAGCCTTCAAATAAAATATATTCAATAGTGAAAATTCAAGTATTTAGGATTTTTTATAAATTCTACATCAAGAACATGAAATCTCCTTGATAATAGAAATCATGAATGATTTGAATTAACATTTTATGCCTTTTAAAATAAATTTTACAAAATATTTTCACAGATACTAACAGCTTTCCATAATTGTTAAGTCCAACTTAGAGATAAGTTCAACTTAGAATCTTTGTGAAACACTGCCAGGATTGTATAGTAATCTCTATATTCAAGACAGTTAGTACATTGTTTCTTCTGAATGTTGAAGACAAGGCTGGTATATCAAGGCACATGAGATATCCAAAATATTCATTTAATAATTATTGTATTCAAGGTCACACATATCAGGTTTTTGTCAAGGCACAATTTCAATATATTTAATGGGAAAGACAAGCTGAATACATCCAAATCACACTTGGACAAAGTTCCAAAATGCCCTTTAATGAAAAAATTTAACGGAGTAAGTAGTTGAGATCTACATATAAGACAGTCAGATGTTACAAAAGGTTAATAGACCAGTTCATAGTCAGCCTTGGCACAAATGACCCCCCAAACATCCACAGATCTTGTACACACGGAAACATCCACTTTGTGCATTTTTAAGCCCCACTGCACTACTTGCGCCTTCTATATAGCAAACAATGCCTAATCGGTGCCTGTTGGTCCCCCATGATCCTCTTTTTCTTATGTTAATTGAGAGCTGATTTGATGAGATAACCACATGTCAGTGACCTTGCAGGTAGGTCTAATCCTCCTAGCCAAACTAGTGCAGACGGGCTTTTAAAATAATCACTGCTAATGTGATTAAGGTGCCCAGGAATACTTTCTTCTTTTTATTTTGTTTGCCTCTTGAGAAGAATACTTCCACCTGTGTATCATAGAACATCCATATCCATGCATTTAAATGAATAATGATAACTTTCATGAACACGGATCCAGTATTGGTCTCTGATTTTTACAATTTTGGTACAACTGACCTTCATCTACCCATGTGCAGATTGTATCTACAAACTGGTCTATTATATTTTTTCAAAACTCATTTTGCATCCATATAAAACCTTAAAAATGACTTACAGAAGCTAGAGACACAATAGACAATAAATCTTGTTGAATCCAATGGCATCAGTACATTATGTTTACTCCAAGACAAAGTCCAAAATTTCCATCCATTCTATCTTACTTTCATCCCCCTAAAAAAAACCTAATACACACTCATCTCTACAAACTGGATGTGATTTTCTTTTTAGTAATTCTGTGTTACCAAACTTTACTGAGATACAAGTATATGGCACAATCAGCCTCTGAAAAGCTTTGTCTGTATTGAATATAAGGCATACAGAAAATAGGAGTATAATTATTGTTGAGAATACAAAGCATTTGATTTCATTTGGAACATAAGACACAAAAGTACAGTGCTTTACATCATACTGACAGTATCATGTAACTGTTATTTGTTTAATTGATGAAAAAGGGTGATTTTTATCAGATTGAAATCACTAACAATGATGTCTCAAATTGAAATAGAAAGAAATTTGAAGGCTTTATGAGAGGAAAACCATAATCAATAACCTCCCTTTGATATGGCATCATGCTATATTCAACACTTAAATTGTATAGATAGATAAATCATACTCTGTCACTCATTACGTTTGAATGCATTGTATTGGGTTTCTGACCAATGCCCTTCGAATAGGCAATATGAATATCTTTAGCATATCTATTTAACATGGCAAGAATTGATAGAAGATTTTGACACCACACACAGTCTGAATAACAGCCTTAAAGGTTGATGCTAGCCAACTACTATAAATTATCATAAATCTTTTCTTCTTTCTCTCTCTCATGAATACAACAGCAAATACTACATAAATTTCATGTGGTGCTGACTTGCATTTTACCCAATGCATGAATTTGACTGTATCTTTACTTTTAATACATGCAAGGGTCAGACCCCCCACAACAATATAAGCTGTGGAGATGTCTACATTAATATCTTAAAATTAAACGTAGACATCAACATATGAATGTCCTCATAGCTGTTTCTCCTACTCCTTTTCAACTATTACAAAGATAATGAAAATGATGTGCAAAATAATGATGTAGCATTAATCTAGTAATGTAGCCAATTCAGAGTATATTCTCTACGCAAAATTCCATTACTATTGAACACGCATGCACTTTCTGTGCTCTGGAATATACCACTACATGTAGCGTTGTACTGTATTCCTTTAATTTTTCCTCCAATAAAAAAAATATGCTGCTAGCACGAATGAAGCTATTTTAAGGGGTACCGCACTGGTTCGGTTCAACACTCATCAGGTTTCCTCTAGAATACGCGATGTGATCGACTCCACCATTGGTTCCACTAACATGCACCAATTTCAGTTTTGATATGGCACATTTGACTAGCCTGGCTTCATCAGTGGTGTCACATGAGCTCACACACACAGATACACTCTTCTCGGTGCAATTTGTTCATGTGAAGCATACTGGTAAACACTTTGTCCACATAGAAAAAGACCATTCCTGGTGCACCACTTCTTGCCGGATGCATCCTCACATCTTCCAGGACACATAGGGCATAACCGCTGACTGCCACTCTTTCTCTCTCTCAGTCAGTCAGACTGCCCAGTGTGACGTGAACCTCAGTTCTGTCTGTCTGTTAGTTGATGCTTTGTTAATGTACCCCAATTTCAGTTTTCATATGGCACATTTGACTGGCTTCATCGGTGAGTGGTATCGCATAAGCTCGCACTGTTTATCCGCAGATACTCTCTTCATGGGGCAATTTGTTCATGTGGAGCACTCTGGTGACTAGGGGAGATGTAGCACATAAGAAGTACGCCTTATTCCCCATCAAGTCTTGTGTGATGATTTTCTCCTGAAAGAAACATAAGAGCAAGGTTTAAGAACTTTATAAACGGAACTACTTGAAATTGTTCTCCATGAATAAGTCAAAATTGTAGATATCATCTATACTCTAATTTAATTGATAATTGATATCCTTATTCAATGTATCAATATGCTTGATTATTACCATAATGTCACAAATGTGTCCACTGGCAGAGTGGAATAATTACTTGGAGAAAATGAGGATAGTAATAATAATCAATGTAGATAACATGCCTTGCTAAAGGAAATAACTGTCATTGCATCTCCAGTCAAGTGTTTAACCCACTTGACTAGTTGACACTTAAGGGGTTAAGGGGGTAATAATTTGAATCGTATTAATTGTAAATGTCCATATAGACAGAATACTTTATATACAGTTTTCTCTTGCTTCAGAGAAGAATTAAATGAAAAGCTTGTAGATTTCTTTCTTATGATTTAGGTTCCCTAGTTGAGTCATGCTGAAGCCTTGGTGATATCAGGAGTGTCAAACAAAAAATTGATGGGCATGAAAAATATGAGATTAAATCTAAAGGTTAATGCTATGAAACAGGAGAAGAAAAATAGGATCACTTTCTAGAATAATTATGATGAATTACACATGATATCTGGATTGCTTTATAAAGATCTAGTAAGTGTATTTCATCTTAGCTGTATCTTATACACAATTATCATATCTTTGAGAGCATCTCAATGAGTACACTATTATATTCACAAAATTGTATCGTGTCTTACACTCTAGTCGAAGATGATGAAGTTGATAGATGACTATATGAAGAATTGCCTGTGCCTGACCGGGTTGAGCTAACAGATGATGCCGAAGACTTTCTGGATTCTGTTAACATGAAACAAAATATGGTACATTATCAACAAATGAGCAGTAACAATGCATGGAATTTCAGAGATAAATCATGAATTCCTTTGGTTCTTTGTTATGTCTCTCTGTCTCTCTCTCTTTCTACCCCATCCAATCTCCCTCCTCATCCTGTTCTCTTCTCATCTCCCCTTCCTCCTTTCCCCTTCTTCCTCCTCCTTCTTTCCATCCATATATTTGCTACTTACAACACTTTTAAAATAGAACCCCACCATACACTGGACGATACATACCTGATACATGTGTTCCACTAGTTGTTCTTTTAGCTGCACTACTGGCCGTGGGTGATGATAAAGAACTATTGTATTCTACTACCCTAGTAGTCCTGTCAATCAAACAAATAATATACCATCATTAATATCGCTTACAATCTCTGACTTCCAATGGCTTGTTAGGATTCCTTTCCTCACCGCACACTAAATAAAAAATGAACATGACCAACTTAACCCCGAAATACCAGCATTGCATGCCAAGCTTTATAAATACACATAAACATTGTTACCTCACACCCCACTACAAAATAGCACTGCTAAACTAACTTGATAAGAAAATAGGTCAATAATATTTTTTTTTTTTTAAAGCAACAATTCTTTTTGTTAATAAACCACAGCAAAGAGTCTACAGACTCTCACCCATTTCTGCTACATCATTGCATGAGAGCTGAATAGTGCATGCAGCAATTCAACGACTTATGAAAATGGAGTTATGATCTATTTGACTCTTGTTTGATTTTTTTTTATACTTATTTGGGTTATAACAATAATTTTCATGGATATGGTAACACAAGCCCACAAAGAGGTAACTTTTAAAAGCTGTAAAGCATGCTCTTATTTTTACAAAGAAATCACACTTGGACCCTGGTTTAAAAAGAATTGATACGATTTGATCGATTACAGCTCAATATGAGTTTGATATCAATCAAACTATTAATATGAGAAGGCCATTTAAAAGCCTATCCTTAACCTACAGAAGCAGTGTGGTCCCTGTATGTATTTAGCTTATGTAAATTATAGAATTCAATACTTATTGGGTAAGAAACTGTTAAACTGCATTGGGACGATATACAATTACTACCAATGTTTCATTTATGTTGCTCCTTGATCATTATTAAAACTCTCTCTTCACAATACTTTAATCACGTCTTAACATCTGCCTATTCTGAACTAACTGTATTGTTACAACTACATCATAATAATAATAATAGCTCGTTCTTCAGGACCGAAGGCACTCTCAAAGCGCTTTACAGATAAGTATATTATTACCCCGGTCATTGGATTCAGGCTTTCCTGCACACAATGTATGCACATTCTCCACTCCCTGGGGAGCATTCCAGCCAGGCGTCATTTTTACAAGCGCACACTTGCTAATCTAACCACATTAGCTTTCGCATCCTACCGGGTACCCATTTAACACCTGGGTGGAGAGTGGCAAATGTAGATCAATGTCTTGCCAAAGGACATTAGTGCCGCGGCGGGACTTGAACCGCGGACCTTGTGATCCACAGTCCGGTGACATATCCACTCGTCAACAACACCTCTACATCACAGCACAGTAGTTGACAATTAATCACATAACAAATTTAGAATGTATTTATATGACATCTAAGTTACACCTTATTGTTTAGTGAAACATATGACATTAGGATCACAGATTATTATCTAATATAAACATGAAGAACCACTTCAAAATCAGCATACACTTTTTAACTTGATATGATCAAGCCTGGGAAATCCAAGTAGAAACCCACCTATAAAATGTATTATCTGAACATCAAACCCTCTCAAATGAATAAAAAGCAATATTAGGATGAAGCTATTCAAATTGGAACACACACAATCACCCGCCATAAATATAATGTCAAAAGCGCCACAAGAATGAGAGTGAAAGAATCTTTAGAAGCAGGAGAGGAACACACACATTTTCCTGGCAAAAGTGTGATATCCAAAGAGCCAAAGGAATAGAGGGAAAAATGTTTTAGAAGCAAACTCTAAGCAAGAGTTAGAAGCCATGGATATATGATAAACCTTGTATTCCGCATCATAGACGTAGCAAGCAAGCCGTCAGAACCAGACCTATTCCGGCTGATCAAACAAAGAAAGAGTCTAAATATCCATGCCATCCCATAACCATATTAAGAGTAGCAAGTAATGTTCTAAAGAAACCAGAAGGCGCTCAGTACAAAATGCTTTTCTTTCATATGAGAAAACGGTAATAGAAAATGATATTATCAAAAAGATTCTCTGAAAGAGTAAAAAAGGAAGACTTTGTAAGAAAACAATGAAAAATCAAAGAATTTAGATACCCATGCCATCCATAACCATATCAAGTGTAGCAAGTAACTTTCTAAAGAAACCAGATGGCATTCAGTACAAAAGGCTTTCAACATCAAAATGCTTAGAAAATTAATTGGAAAAAAAGATGTTGCATTAAAATATGGAAAAATATCTGGTTTATCAGATTTGGAAAGTCAGAGCAGGAAAATGCTTTTCTTTCATATGAGAAAACAGTTATAGAAAATTAAATTATCAGAAAGATTCTCTGTAAGATTATTTGTAGTCCAACTCCAGAGTAAAAAAGAAGGAATACTTTGTAAGAAAGTAATGAAAAAGAAATTCATATTAGTATCGCATATTGATATTTCCACCCTGTGTATTCCCTTTTTTTAATCCCATTATATGCCTCCATTTTCCTTGCTTCATTTCTAAATCAATGGCCAGTTGGCCTCGGGCCAGTAAAATGTTTGCTCTTTCATTAAAAATTTAAAGAGAAAATTGTAAAGCAAAATTTTTGTTGGGGTTGCTGGGGTTTACCTGTCCATGTTTCTATCGATTCCGCGGTAATAATATATAATTTTTTTTTTTAATTAATTTTTTTTTTTTGGGGGGGGGGGGGGGTGGGGGTTGAAAAATTGTATTTTAAGAGGTGATATCGTATTATCGTATTTCACTCATATTATCGTACTGGTTGGCATCTCTGTTTCCATGTATCTCCTCTTCTTTCTCCTTTACCAATACATGTCACCTACATGTATCTTGGCTTTTCCAGGGCCTATTTTATAAAACTTGTTATCAACAATAAGTGCTGAAGTCTGTAACAGATTTAAGCTAAGCTAATCAAAAGGAAGGATTTTTTTAAAATAGCTTGTATGTCAGTTATTTTAAATTTCCATTGATACAGTGAAACCTGCTTTAGTGACCACCTGACTACAAAGACCACATTTTTTTTCCCCCTTAAAAATGGTTTCTCATTAAAACATGTACTATAGGCACGACCTATAAAGACAACCTTTCTTGTCTCCCTTTGGTGGTCTTTATAGGCAGGTTTCACTGTAATGAGTTTTAGAAAGGCCTTAAAAACACATCTTTTTTGCAATTTGTAGTTGTAAGACTGTTTTTTTTTTTTTTTCTTCTAATTATATGTATTTATGTAATTTTTATTTTCATTCACTGTAAGCGCTTTGGGCCTTATGGGAAAAGCACGGTATAAGTAATAATAATAATAGTAATAATAATAATAATGAAGTAGGGCCCAGAAGTTGTTTCCATTATTCTCTCTCAACTAACCTGGTGGTTGCCTTCACATTATTGTTAGGTTCAAGGAGAGTTGCTGAGGGTGACTTCTTCCCCGCCCTGGCGGCTGTTCTTGAGAGGGGTGCTGACACCACCTCAGTCTTGGATGCTTTCTGGGCTTTAGATGCCGCTGTAGAGACAGAGAGAAACAACATAAGCCAATAATGAAATGCTGATTTATGCACCAATGGAGAATGAGGTGACAAATGCTCTTTTCTATACTGACAAGAATCCTTCTAAAACGTTAAATGAAATCTCAATATGCCTTTGACCTCTAATTCAGATTTGTCATAGAAAAAGTAGAGAGGGGGATGGAGAGAATTTATGCTAATACTTAAACAAGAGCTTAGTATTTATACTTTGTACATTGATGTTATTCTTAATGTTATAGTTGCGATCATCCCAACACACTCCACTCAATAAAACAAAATCAATTGCTATTACAGAGAAGAAATATCAAAGCAAATGGTATCAAACCAAAAACATGGTAATGAACAAATTCACTGTGGGAAAATGACAGTTTGCACAAGTGAACAAAATACATGATACATCCAACATGACCTTACTGCCCTTCACACAAAAATATCTCAACAATTTGTAGTTTAAATTCAGAACTGACAAAAATAGGAGTTTGCTTTACAAACTAAGATACTTATATTCAGATAGGCCATGCATATACCAGAACATATAACTACATAGACCAAGGCACAGTGAATCAACCTTCTTCTCTAACTCCCCCCCCCCCCCCCAAAAAAAAAACATAACACAACCCTCAAACAACGAACATAGAATACACAATCAATGAGAACGTTAAAACATTAAAAATTTCAAGCCGACTAACTGAAAATCATGTTTGGGTGGCATGTGACATATTAACAACAATGTAACTTTCTTTTTTTAACAGCTTATATTCTCAAGGTAATTTCCTTTGTATAATCAATTACATTTTTTTTTTTAAAGTATGACATTTTTCTAATATTACACAAATGAAATGTGTGTATATGAAATTTCAACATATTGAATGTACGGTATCAAGAAATATTGTCCTCTTTCTTAAGACTACATTTGACTGGTATGTTCAGTTGGTATGTCAATGAAATAAAGAGCAAAACTTAGTTCTGATAGTTCATGCATTAAACAATCATTATAACATAACACACATCATATACTGGATACATTCATCTATGCATAAAAAGGGAATACATGTGAACAAGATAATGTTGTGAAGCATGCAGCATGCAAATATGTAAAGTGTCCTCATGCATTCAAACACCATCTAATCAAACAAATAAAATGCAATGTGGAAATGGGTGGAACTACATGTCAAATGAGAATGTCATGTGTTCAATTAAAAAAGGCAATAAAAAACTTAGTTTTACAGAGTTTAAAAGATTGAGTAAAATAAAACTGTAAAAATTCTTGTACAGTCAAACTCGTGTTTCCCTTGAAAATGGTCTCTCCTTGAAACATGTACTAAAGGAACCTGTCCACAAAGACCACTTTCTGTGTTTCCCTTGAGCAGTTGCTATAGACAGGTTTGACTGTATATTCAATTTCACGTATGTATCTTTGCCTTTAGGAATGAAACAGTAACAGAGTCAACAGACATAATGGGATGAAATGAGCAACAGAATATGTACTGTCGAATACAACAAGAAACAGGGGCACTTACTTTTTGCTGTTTGAAAAGAAAGGGGGACATAAGGAAAATGTTGATTTATTCATGAGCATGATAATGAGCGTGTAACCTTTAGAGTTGGCTCCAAAATCATACATCAAAAGTAGTTTATAAAAGCTTCCTCTACAAAGCTATGTCAGTGCTACATTTCTAGAATATTTAAATGTACAATCTGCATATTACAGTGAGTCAAAGTTTGCGTTTTTTCATTGTTGAACTACACACAAGATGCTACAGCTAAATCTTTCACATCTAAACTACATAATAGTAGAGCATAGGCATTATTAAAATTAGAATGAATGTTTAAAAGTAGCAAGTAATCCAATTGTGAGTTTTTAAGAAGGGTAAGAATATAGTTATACACATCAAATTGCAATCATGATTCAACTGATGAAAATATTCTGTGTCAACTAGTTCTCACAAGATTGTAGCCAACAGGGATAAAATAATTTTTTTAAAAGCTTGGGAATCTTTGTCATGCAAAGTAGTTAATCTCATTTATGAATTAAAGAAAAGTGGACAGCAGTGATGTATAATGACCCTTTTGCATTCATGTACAGTTCACAAAACTTCAAGAATGATTTTATTAACTTATTCAGTAAAGCACCGATGTCTACTGGCAAGATGCATGTATTAATCCACATTCGCCACTCTTGACCCAGGCGTAGTACATGTACATGTACATGTACATGTAAGTGGGTACCTGTTGGGATTTATTCCTCAAATGATCCATTGCGCAATGATCATGGTGGCCAGAGCTATACCTATGGTAATTATTTTATACAAGAAGGGAATATCAATATTGTATACAAATGTTTTTCACCCACAAACGGTAGTGTCTGAATTATTTATCACATGATTCTAAATACATATATTTCATATGCATCCAATGAAACCTTGATATCTTAGGAGATTTAAAAAATAAGTATGGTAAAATATTGTCAAAGAACAAAATCAACATTTTCCTACCTTGTATAGCAAAATTCTAATTATTTCCCCTTCACATTAAATAAGCATGCATTCAAGAAACACTATCTTAGAATACTCAAGATTATCATGGTTCTGCAGACCATGTGATTCCTACCTCGATTAGCACTGTTCATAGGAGCCCCCTGGGGAGGGGAGACCTTTCTGGAAGACGACGGGGTATTATGTTTGCCACTGGGGGGACCGTTAGACACAGAACTCTTGCTCGAAGATGACACTGCACTATTTTTGCCAGTGGGGGGACCGTTAGACACAGAACTCTTGCTTGAAGACGACACTGCACTATTTTTGCCGGTGGGGGGACCATTAGACACAGAACTCTTGCTCGAAGATGACACCGCACTGTTTTTGCCGGTGGGGGGACCGTTAGACACAGAACTCTTGCTCGAAGATGACACCGCAATATTTTTGCCGGTGGGGGGACCGTTAGACACAGAACTCTTGCTCGAAGACGACACCGTAATATTTTTGCCGGTGGGGGGACCGTTAGACACAGAGCTCTTACTCCCAGATGGTGTGCTTATGTGTTTGTGGCTGTTGCTTTTAGACACTGCAAACAGAAAGAGAGATAGGGTGGAGAGAAAGATAGGTAGATAGATAGAACAAAGCAGGCACAGCAAACTCATGCAGTGGTTAAAAAGAGGAGATTAGTTTCTCAAAATCAAATGGTCCTGGGATGAATGCTCGACTGCTTCAAGGCGAACAGATGTAATTCCATACTTGTTTTGAAAGTATGTCTGTTTGAGATTCCACGTTGGATGTGATATATTCGCCTTATAAGCTGTGACGGGATTATTGCTCGACTAAAGTTAATAGGATTTATCTATAGCAACCCTAGCAAACTTATCCTGACCAGACTCTGTGAAATGAGAAACTAACCTCCAACAATACTGCAACATTTTTTGCAATTGTTATCAAAATATCAAAAAAGTCAAAGGAAAATAGTAGAAGAGTAATATGAATAGGCAAAATTAAATGCTTTATATAAAAACCAATGCATAAATCTACATGTACCACCAAAGCATCATGCATTGCTTTTCTTTTCTAATCCATAAGATATGTGCAAAAAATATTATCATTGCCTAATAAAAGTTCGGTGGTGTCATGCAAATTGAAACAATATTGCTCCCATTGTGCATTTTATTTATCTACAAGGCTTTGATGTTGCTAACATACTGAAACCTACTCATTTAAGTAGAATTTTGGAAGATTTTTATGGTATATTCTGATATTAAAATACTGTATTAGAATAAATACAGACTACAAGCTAAACATGCATGCTAAACAAGTGTACAAGTGGAATTCAAGAACAACAAAAAAGTGAAAGCTTAACATCTCACAAAAGCCAGCCACTCCTCAAACAAGAAACCAATATTATAAGGACTAATATTTTAGCAATAACTGCAATGAATCACTGTTAATACTACTTCTCGCTAAAAGATGATCCTGACTCTTGAAGCAGCTAATAATTAAAACTAGTCTCTATTTAGAATCTCTTTCCTACTTCTTCCAGTGTTAACCAATTTCTATTCAAATTTCTATCTATCTGGAAAGTTTCTTGGTATCCTCTTTACTACTTACTGTCTGTGAAGAAAGCATATCGTATAAAGAATGAAAATAAAGGGGAAAAAAGGAGACCAAAGGATATCATAAACACACGAGACAAGGGTCGGCAGAGTCACTCCAAACTCGGAAAAGAGTCCAAACAGATGGAAGACTCCATGAGGACCTAACAAACCTTTTCTGGAAGATATTGAAGGAGCAGAGGCTGGATTTGATTGGCTGTGAGCATGAACGTTCTTCTCCACTTTGCTCTCCTTCTCCGCCCCCGCCTTCTTCTTCTCCGTGTGTCTTGCCGGGCCTTTCTCCCTGCTTCCCTTCTCCGCTCCGTCGTCGATGTTCCGTCTCTCGATCTCCAGCATGGCTCGCTCCTCGGCCTCCTTCTTCCGGTCCTGGATGTCGTCTTCGTAATACTGTGACATGTTCAGCTGGGAAGGATGATGATAATAATAATGATAAAACATGATCTTCACATGGCCCACAAATCGTCCTCTAGGAGCTAATGATAATAATACTAATGGTAAAATGACTTGTCAGCTTCAATGTTGTTCTTCCTGAGGGCCCCGTAATTAGTATTATCCCAACAAATGCCAGGTATCCATTTACACCTGGGTGGAGAGTGGCAAATGTGGATAAGTAATTTTGTCAAATGATGTTGGCGCCAGACTGGGATTCGAACCCTCAACCTTAGAATTGAGAGTCAAGTGAATGAAATGCTATACCACATTACTACTCCAAAACTTAGTAGTTTTAGCTAAATTGTTGGTATTAATAGCAATACATGAAAATAAATGTAGTAAGTAACACAACGAAAGCAAAAAAATTAAGGAGATAATTTTAAAACTATTCTGAAGTAATCCCATTTAGATGTGTTTGATCCGTTTTTCATTTTCAACTGCAGACCTGCTAAATTCTGGAGTTCAAAAACTGTATTCTTTAATCCCAAAAGTTGTATTTTACTGCCAAAAGTTGTATTCTTAAAAAAAAAACATGGACTGTTACGCGAATCAATGCCTCTTACAGTTCGTACATACAGGAAGAATTTTTTTATGGATCATATGTTGAATATGCATGATTTCGTCACGACTGCTGTGTTCGATGAACCAATGAAGATCCCCAAAATGCCGATGTGAGAAGCTTGTAGGATACTTAACAGGGCAGAATGGACATTTTATCATTGCAAATCACACACACACACACACACACAAAAAAAAAATTAAAAATTGTTGTGTTTTTTTTTTTTTTTTTTTAAATCGTATTTTATTAAGGAAAAATCGTACTGCCGTATTTGCTTCTAAAAGTCATACGAAATACAACTAAATCATACTGGTTGGCAGGTTTGCAACTGTCTATGATTTTTAGAGTAACTTTTCAAACCATGTGAAATAAATTACACAATACCAAGTGAATAATTCAAATATTGTATCAAACAGATGATCATTTATTGCCTTTATATTCTTGAATCATATTTTAGATAAAATAATGAACTGCCAAATTTATATGTTGACAATGAAAGACAGTAAACTTACCGAGTCTACATGAACTTGTATTCTGTCTAATTCAAATACAGCCTGAAAAGAAAGAGAGTGAAATGAGTACATTCAGTAACTCTGCGTATGAAGGCGAAAAATATTTATTCAGCATTTAGGACTCATTTCAAAGAAATCGGACCATAATAATTCCATACTCTTCATATTTCTGATTACGAAAAATAACTGTTTCTCATTGCAGATAAGAAGACTTACATGTAGATTCACAATGTTTTGTTACCTATGCACTTTTCTGATAAAAGAAATCTTACAAAGCATCAGACAAATAAGAGAGGTAAACCTCAAAGGTTCAGCTTTAAGTGCTTGGGTTTCTTTGCCACAGATTCCAAAATCCTGGATTTAGCTCACACTGCAATGATAATTATAATCCTTTAGGTCAATCAGGAACCCCATGACTTTTACAAGCCCTGATTATCAAGATATTTATGACTGGAATTCAAAATTTCAAAAAACATTTTCCTAACATTTTGTTATAACACTACAGTCTATTGGGGAAAATGAGTATGGTAAAACCAGTCACTCAGAGATTTTGATTTTTTTAGGACTTCAATATTACACCATATCACAGACACTGATAACACGTAGGACCATGCATCTCAGATTTAACATTGTTACACAATGCCTTTAATACTTACTTGTCTAATGGCAGCGTCTACATCTTTATCTTTCTCTGATGAGAGTAGTCTCCTAACGACCATCTCCAAGGCTTGGAGGTTCTCTCTGTCCTCTGGTAGCTTCATCTGATGCTTGATCCGAGGTAGCAGAGAGCACATTTTTAACCTGGTAGTAAAATAAACACAACCACATAGAAATCAGAGGTGCTTTAAAAAAGATGAGAAACACAACTGCACATGCACAAAGTAAAAACTAACAGAATCAACCATAACGTATGCTTTTCTTTAGTTCATTCAGGCACCCAGAACAAAAAATTCTCTTTTGAAATGAACGTACCGTATTTGCCGGCAATAAGGCCGCAACCCGATTTTAACATTTAAAAAAAAAAAAAAAACTTTTGTCAGAGGCGGGATATGAACCCTTGCGTTCAAAATGTAGACTTTGACACCCAACCATCGCCTTAGACCGCTCGGCCATCCCGACCGTGTTAGTTTGTCTTGCAGCTTTCTCTTGTGTATTGCATTGCACCATAGCTTTGCTCACGCGAGCTGAGGATTGAGGTTGCTTTAGCTATGGCAAAAACTTAAATCTAGATCTACCAGTAGAGTTTGGTTGGTAAGTTATGAATTTTATTTACGAGATTGACAAAACTTTGCCCTTCATTTAAAAAATATAACACATATATGTCAGTAAGACATGTGTTACTCTAGACAGTTATTCTAGAAATGTCCATCACCTTTCATTGTTGTCCCATATGTTCAAATTTGTGTTTTTGACTTGCAATCTTTCTTTTTTTTTTACTCTTTCGCCGCAAAGGCCGCACCCCGACTTTTTAATATTTTCTCTTCCAAAAATACTGCAGCCTTTAGCCGGCAAATACGGTACCTAAACATGACAAAGTCATAAATTGTAGGTACATAAAGCTAATAAAATAAAAATATATGATGATGGTATCCATTAAATCAACATACTTTGATAAATGGAAACAATTTTTAAAGGGTATTTGATGAGAATTTGACGTCCTTTGAGGAAAATTTTGATATCAAACAACCTCTTTATATTTTCTTGGACACTTAAAGAGTAACTTCCGTGATTTCTCTCTTGTCTACCTGATGTTAGGAACAGGATCCGCTGTGAGATCCATCAACGGCTCCATGAAATTCTCCTTGAAGAATGATTTAGAGAACATGTCCATGACGATGACAGAGATGTCTATGTATAACCTCCTGTAGCGGCTGCTTTTACTCCTACAACACTCTGTTAAACAGACAAGGAAAGAAGATAAAATTAAGATATTTTTTCACTAGTAATGGATCTTGACATAAGTAATACATCTTTTTTAATACCTTCTCAATTTAGAAAAAAAAATAGGTATCATATCGATTAACACAAATACATGGAGGCTACTATCAAATGCAGAAGATAATAATGTTTTAATTTCAATAAGACTATACAAAATCCTGCATATTTCTACTTTTTCAAAAACAGATTTATCAATGGACATCATACATGGTGATGCAATATTCTGATCCATTTCTTAAGAAAATATCACAGACTATGAAAGTTTTGTCACCCATATTAAGCACATGTATGGTGAAAATAGTTGTTGAAAAGAAAAGAAAATTTACTTTTGAGCACATAGTGCAAGACTTACCATGGATTAGTTTGGCAACCATGTCTTGTCTGTGGTCAAGCTTTCTACAGTTTCTCATCAGAGCACACAATGTCCTAGATGCTGCACGCTGGATCGGCAATGCTCTCTGAAAATACCACGACAGTAAAATTACACATTTACATGTAATATCTCATTTGTGTGAGAAAATTCTATTATCTTATGAAATACACTAAGACAAAATTCAGATTGTGAAATGCATCCAACCTTTAATAAGCAATAATCAAAACGAACATTGTGTGTTCATGCAGATATTGTACAAAAAGTATCAATTCTTCAAACAATTTCTCTCATATTCCTAATTTGTGAAATGTTGAACAGGTGATTCTATTCTTTCTGGTAGTTAGCCATCTCGACAAAGAAAAGAACTGGCTTTAATATTAATGTATGAAACTTCCACTTAATATGAATCAAATTTACTTGCCACTTACAATAAGGGTAACAGCTTGGTCAGGCCATATTCAAGCAAATGATTGAATGAGTAATCAAACCACCCACAAATATGAAAGACCACCAGTTATGCACATGCGCACACTCTCACATACATTTATCACAGTACAAAATTGCTAAATTCTTCTTTGACAATTTTCAGGACACAGCTAAAACAATGGCCCTACACAACGCAAAACTCATTCCGAGGCAATATATAAAGACTCACATGAGTGGTGACAAGCTTGAAGAAGAGAGGAACAAACTTGGAATGGATCTGATCACTGGTCAAACACTTGGGAAGACAGGCAAGCTTATCTAGAATGTCAACATGGAGTCTCCAGTTCCTGGAGTTGGCTGCTATACTCTCCGCAGCCAAGATGGCAGGTATCAAATCACCAACACCATATACCTGTCATGATAGAAAATTGGAAGATGTAAGCACAGAAAATTTGTTATTATGTCGCAAGGGACCAGCACCACATAAGACTTTATTGTTTCTTGCCGGTTTCCTCATTCGTCTATTTAATTGTATTTTGTGTTTATCTTTTGTTATGTTATTTGTATGTTCTTTACTTATCTGTAAATATCAATGTTATATTTATGTATGTTTTTATATGACAAATGGAACAAAATGAAATGAAATGAACTATTAAGTAAATTTGTGTATTGCGTAACTTTTGATCCCATGTTATTACAAATAAAAGTGTTTTACAAACAATATATTTTATGACAGATAGGGTTACACAGCACTGAATCTGGGTTAATATCAGGCACCTCAGTTCTACAATCATGAAAGTTAACAATTTCAATTATAATTGAAATCTCACTTTATGATTAGGAAAAATCCTCACAATGTACACATCAAATGAAATTACATGTTCATTCTTGAAGTTCATTGAAACATTTCTCCTGTTTTATTTAGTCTTTTAGTAGGTCTCTACTTAGTAAATCAATAATCTTGCAATGTAACAGAAAGATGTATGCCACGTTCAAAAGGGAAATCAACTGAAATAGAAATAATAATCAAATCACTCTTCTATAATTGACAATAAAAACAGATACTGGGATGCTTCACATAACACACTGCAGACTCTGTCTCCAAATTATAAATTGCAACGCTGTAATCATCACTGGGAAAAATATTTACACGACAGTGGATATAAACACTTTCATTTATGTGATTTATAAATGCTTATGGAAATATATGTGAATACATGAGGTAAACATGTATGTAACCTAAAAAAAAATGCTGCAAACAGGAAATAGTCTCTTTAATATTACCTTTGATAATCTTGTACACTGCATTATGAATTTATACTCTCTGAGAGCTAAAAACGGATATTGCTAAAGATGTCATAGACATACAATCATCTAATATTTCAAAAAGAAAAATATTTGAATAATCATTTCATCAAGGCTTCTGAATTATTTGGCTTCTAACTGATGAACGGGACTAATTTCACTTGCCAATATATCATCTAATCTAATATTCTATGGCATGAAAGCTATTATTAAATAATTAAAAGCTTCATGAATGTTGACACCTACAGAAATGAGTCTGTAACTATGGTATATGCTATACAGGTTGCCTGTATTACAACATTACTAACCCAATGCGAGTAAGACTTCTGGTTAGGATGAAAATGGGGATAACTATACTCCAAACTGCTCTATAAACACAGCCAGCTACATCATGTGACTATGAGATCGTTCGTTCATGTCTCCTTAGATCGACTATGAGATGAACTTCACTGAATAAAGAAATCCTCCAGCAGATTTTTTATAATTGTGTATTTTTTATCAGCATGGGCAGAGGGTACCAAACCTAAATAATTAAATCTCATTCAACAACTTAGTCATCCTCTCAAAATTCCCTAATCCATACAAGTTTCCCTCTAAAGTCTCACCAAACGGCAAATATAAATATCAGTTTACCACATGCTCCAATCAAAGTCTTGTGTAACAACACAATCCATATCAATATATATATATATATATTTAATCATACAGACAGAATAACGACCCCAATGTAAACATCAATCCTTCTATGCCCAACATACACATGAATAAAGCAGCATATATGGTAGTACAACAATCTACATGTAGCACTTTGAGTTCTAAATGCATGCTACATCTACCATGCTAGTAACCAGCGGTCAAAAACACATAGATTTCTTACCCTGCGATAGGGATATAGACTTATCGTTATCATCTAAGAAAGTGAGAAAAGGGTGAGGACAGTCAGGTAAGAATACAGAAGATTTCTCCATTTTCTGAACACACCTATAAACAAGCTTTCTAGACTAAACTACCTCTTCATAATGAGTTGGGGAGGTGAGGGGGGAAGGGTGAGGGGGAGGTGAGGGGGAGGGGGTATACATTGCACATTCCTATAACTATGTGCAGACTTGTCAGAAGGTTGAACAAAACAAATTTTTTAGTGAAGGACATTGTATGACATTGAATTCCAAACACAGTGGAAACGACATTCCATACCTATTTCAATGAAAGGTCAACTAATACCCTTTTTTTTTTGTGTGTAAACCATTTGTATAGATATACTGCAAGGACAATATATATGACACCTGATTTCTGCCATTGTAATTTTTTTATACATAATATTTTAAATGGCCTCAGATACATCATTGCTTCTTTTAGGGGTAAATTGGTAGAATGATAACAAAAAGAGAGTGTGTCATTTTTCTCACCTTATTATCTACTTGATGACTACTGCTGCTAGGAGCTCCTTTAGAGAACGCTATCAACGTCTCTGGAAGGTGTGATACAATACCCTGTACAACCTGCATGTGGGAAGAACAATATTCATTTACATTCAGTGACATCTATTCAATTGTTTTAGCTTGAACAAGGATATAAATATTCCAAAACATATGTCGTGCAAAAAGTGGAGCTAATTTCATGTTACCTCGAAGATATTATTACAGAATTTTTTGAAATTCTACCTTTCTAAGCAACAATGTTTATAAACAACAGTCATAAAAGGTTTGAACTCTTTATTTAAATATCAAATTTGATTCTAAATATATTTAACATCCCCCCCCCCCCTCCCATGACAGATGATGATACTATACCCGAGTGAGGAAAACTTAAACAGGTAAAATATGTGTGTAGTCCTTATAAGGATTGGGGTATCATTTCTTGGAGAGATGTGTTAGTTCTTAAAAAAACTGTTGCATAATTCTTTTTATGGTTTGTAGTTCTGACAAGAACTTGTATATCTTTCAAAGAAAGGGATTGTCTCAACGTTTCGGACAATGTCCTCCGTCCGTCTTCAGGAGAATGGTGTACAAACATGATGTATCCATTTTCCTCACTCCCCAGGGAATGGAGAATGTGCACACAGTGTGGGCAGACAAGTATTTAAATCCAATGACCATGGTTATAGTATATCTGTAAGCGCTTAGAGACATCATAGATGTATTAAGCGCTATATAAAAGCGGATTATTATTATTATATACCTCACCATGCAAACCTATAACGTTTTTATAAAGAACATTTAATACCATACCTGTAGATTCTCATCCTTGAGTAGACTAACCAGCTCTCCATGGATACATGATACATTGTTACCTAGAAGGTGAGCGACCTGTCAATCACACATGGAAGAAAGCAAAGTTTACTTATAGAATAATTAAATGAGTAAAATTCTTTTTCAGGTTTGAATGACACAATTTTACGAGGGCAAAGCTTTAATCATACTACAGTCAAACCTGCTTTAGTGACCACCTGTCTACAACAACCACATTTTTTGTTTCCCCTGAAAATGGTTTCTCATTGAAACATGCATTAAAAGAACCTGTCTACAAAGACCACTTGTTTGTGTTTTCCTTGGGTGGTCGCTATAGACAGGTTTGACTGTAAATTCGAACCTGCCTTGGTGACAAACCTAAAATAAAAGACTACCTGTTGATAACGACCACATTATGCTTTTATCAATACCAAAATGACTGGAAACCCGGCAACAGGTATAGGGCCTGCTTATCTGTCTCCTCTGTCTATGTACATGTTACACTGACAAAAGGGCTTCTGCATATTAGCTGTTGTGCTAAGATGGCAGTATAAACCTAACCTATTGCCTTTTGGTTGTTCCAGCATTAAATCTATGAGGAATATGATAATTCAACAGTCAACAGGTTAAAACAATTATGGTAAATAGTTTCTGTGCATAATGTACATAACTGGAGGAATTTATAGAAATACATGTAAATTATACAACTCCCATCTAGGAACTTCTTTCTTTTAATTTGTTTTGAAACAAAGTATGATACCTAAAAACTAGCAAATCATTTTCAAAAGCACTGCTTACCTCATGGAAACCACATGCTAAGGTAGCTCTGACTTGAGGCTGAGGATCGTCGCAGAGACTGGCAAAGGTTCCATGAAGCTCGGCCTTGAACTTACGAGCACCAGCAAATAGCACCATACACTATGGTGTAAAATAAGGGGGGCGGAGCAAAAAGTAAAGTCAGACTAGTAACAATGATAATAAATGTTTATAATTGGAACTGGCTTATAAGGATCTACAAGGCAATGTAGATTATAAGCATTGGTCAATGAATAGATGTTTAAGGCTTTCTAAAACACAAACCTCACAATTTACAGTAAATGGCAGTAAAAGTAATTAGGAAATTCAAATTTGTATCACAAGACCAGTACATTTTTCATGAAAGATAATTAACCTTCATAAGAATCAAAGACTGTCACATGTATCAAAGAGATCCCAATTAATAATAATAATATTTAATTTTTATATAGCGCTTAATACAAATGTCTTTAAGCGCTTTACAAATATATTATTACCCCGGTCATGGAGGAGATAAGAAAAGACCATTGATGGGATGTAATTAATCATACTTACAGGGAAATTGAAGGCAGAGAACTGTCTGCATTCAGTTAGTCTGTGTTCCTCTCGATACATAGACAGCATTGGAGAATTCTGTGAATCGACGACAAAAAAAGGGATTATAAGCTTCATTTTATTCTTCATTCATCAATGAATGCCTGATGGGTTGAAGGTCATGTCTTTTGAAGAGCTTACTTTTCCATCATTATATATCACACACTTTACAATAAACCCCCTCAGTCATGAAATGTGTGACCTAATATAAATGACATAATGTGATTTAGTGATACATTTGTTAGATATGCATGACGGTTTCCCTTTCTACAATTAACTTACCTCATTCTTCCTCTTCTTTTTTATTTTTTTCAAAATCACATACATCACATTTTGTCATGTTATCCAAATGTTCATCCTGAACATACAGTGCAGTATGCTTTTCTCGATATCTTAACTACTTTAGGAATATTTGTTTGTTAATAGCAGTGAATAATTAAAAATTTCACTGCTTTTTATATCACCTTTATAAAATCAAAATTACACTGTTTTTAACATGCACTATAGTGTTAAAGGTTACAACACTCTGAAATATATCAGCTGAAAGGGAAGGAGATGAAGTTAATAAAAGAATAAGCGGGAAAAAAAAAAGTTTTTTCAAATTAGGAACGTTGTCCTATTCCATGCTCATATACAGTACAACATGATACTCTATATGTTGATGATTTTTGTGTTGTTCAAATGCTTTATTCAAACAAGACAATTAAAAGGCTTGGACGACAGCTTATTCTTGTGTTGTAATTACTACAGCAAATCTCATGCAGTAATGACATTGAAAAATAAATATTGTTGTCACCAAAAAAATATTCAGAGAGATGTAAGGGTGACCCAATGTAATATACATACATACAATAATACCTCAAGTCACCTTTGTTTGAAATACGAAAAGATAATTTCAATATATTAATGAAATTAACACATTTCAAATTTTATTCTTTTTTTATCTAGAAGAATAGGATGTTATCATGAAGTAAAAATGTGCCCTTATAATTATATGTAAATATTTTGGCTTTCACACAAATGAATCTGCATAATATTGCATTATCAGAAGTGTTAAACACAGTAGTTTACAACGACAATATCAACATTAAGCAAAGTACCGTACACATAGTATTACAGGTTGGTGTGATTAATGCTAAATTTTTATAAAATCAAAACTAAAGAGTACATGATGTACAAAACTACTATTACAGTACGTGTAAACTAATACAACTTCATAATCTTGATACTGATTCTAATACTAATCAGAAAAGGAAATCAGCTGATATTTTAAAATCAAATCAAGGGAATTCAAAACTTTACAGACAGATTTACAATAATTTACTACTGTCAGTTTCTAATGAAGGTAAGCAAATGCAGAAAAAACAAGAATAACTATAATCATATCCTAACTAGCCTGGCTCTTAAAGGTAAAGACCAGTATTGGCAACGCCCCAATTTCAAAAAATGAAATGGAAGCTCTCATTACCAATCATGTGAAAGAATATGTTTTGACTAATACAAAAAAAGTCATGATGATAAAAAATTTGCCGGGAAACCGCCTACTAATTCATATATTTGGTAAATTTATTTCTCTCATGGTCTGGTGAGAGAGATAGGGTAGTCCCATATACATCTTTCTGTGTATAGTGCTTGTAACTTTACGAAGAATGAGCCAAATTTCTTATCATTTTGATGATTCCAGAACCTTGCAGATGCTAGATGCTAGATGATCGACCTTTTCTGATCGATTCCACAACGTTTCTTTCACAATGCAATCGCATGACCATTACTGGTCTTTACCTTTAATAGACAAGCAATATACATTAATGCCAGACTGAACTTGCACACTCTATGAAACTTGAAAGCTTATATACTAGTGGCCTTGTAGTGTCAAAATACCTTTTATTGAACCTAACATAGCCGTGAATAACAGCCTACAGAAGCAACCGTGCAGCAACATGGCATGCATTTGCTTACAGTTGAAGGACGGAGAAGAAAGAAGACATTATTTGGTATGTTGGTTTCTTTGTCATTTAGTTCCGTACTTGGCATTACAGATCAAAGAATTGAAAGGAAAACTGACATACATGTTCCAAACTCTCAGAGCTTTCCTCTAGATCTTATAATAGAGCCAAATCAAAGAAACAAGCGAAGTCAACTAACTAAATGGATTTCGAAGTACCGTTACAAGATTCACTATGTCAATAGACATAGAATGTGAATTTGAAAGAGGAATCTACTTGCCATGCATCCCCTGTAGATACTTGGAGTCATTACGCTCTTAAATAGAATTAGTGTTTGAATTAGGTATGCCATTAGTAGAAAGTGAAATAACATATTCTCAAATTAGTAGAGCACTCAAGCATAAATGTTATACGTACATGTAGTTATTAAACTGCAACTGCAAGGCTCTTCTGTCTTTTTTTTGTTTTATGACTTTATTGTTGTTGTTGTTTTTGTGTTTTTGTTTTTTTTTTCGGGGGGGGGGGGTAATTATTTTTAAAGTGTGTTTCTTGAACTCTTGCAACTTATAAATGATCAATAGCCTAATAGTTTAACAGTTTTCCTCTAAAATCCATTGATGAAATTTGGAAGATAAATGGGTAAAGACAAGAAGAAACATAGAAAGTCTGAGAGAGAGAGGGGAGGGGGAGAGGGGAGAGAGGGAGAGGGGGTGGTGAGGGATGGGGGGGGGGGGGGAGAGAAGATGATTACCGGTAAGATCAGTACATTATCACAACAAATATATAGAGAAAGCAGGAGAACAGACAAAATATTAGAAGGAAGCTGAGATAAACAGAGAGAGAGAGAGAGAGAGAGAGAAACTGGGAGGCAAATACAGAAAGATTACAACAATAAGCAACAAAGGAAGATAGAGCCTAAAAGACATTTAAAAAAAGTATGGTTACACTTATATAAAGGGAAGTTGGGGTTAGAAAAAACACGGAGAAAGCAAAGGAGAGAGATAGAGAGACACAAAGAGAATTAGAATGTTGTCAGAGCACACTATCACAGCAAAGAGAGCCTGTTATAATCACTCTATATATGCGTGATAGTCACCTTGGTGGAGCTAGTATTACATGATGCACCTGACTGCTCCTGAGCAAGATGTAACATATCAACAAAACATATGAATCTTCTACCATCTACCTTGAGGTATATCATTAACAAATGCTAAAATCCTATTACAAATTTACTCTCAGCCAATCAAATGCCACGATTTCAGTAGCTTATAACAGTATGGACCCTTAAAGATAAAGTTGAGTTCTGTTCATGCGATTGCATTGTGAAAGAAACGTTGTGGAATCGATCAGAAAAGGTTGATCATCTCAGTAGCATATAAGTATTGGTGTGTATACTGCAAGGTTCTGGAATCATTAAACTGATAAGAAATTTGGCCCAGTCTTGGTAAAGTTACAAGCAATGTACACAGAAATATGTATATGAGACTACACCAACATGTGGCATAAACATCTTTCCCAATTTGTATGCTGTCACATGCCATATTTAGAATATTCAGGCATTTGAAGAGCCATGCTTTTCAGGGAACACATTTTGTCTGATGTTCTTCCACACTTGCATAATAACAATGATAACACTCACAAATTTTGTTTCACCTCTTCCCAGAACTCAACCTTCTCTTTAATGAGTTTATCCCTTCAACTCAATGAAAGGATGATAGATGACTGTATTAGGTCATATATCTTTTATATATATACATGTAGTTACATATATAGTAATTTATATTTTTTTTTTGTCATCACTTGAATGGACAGGGCCAAAAATAGAATGACACAATGAAAAGTTTACTCTAAATCCATTACAAATAATTGAAATAGATACCTCATCAAAGGCCAGTGCAAAAATATGTATGAAGGTAAAAATGATGATAAAAGGCATTTTGTCTGCTGAGAGCAAAAAAGGGCATCAACTCATCTCCTATAATATCAAGTTAAAACCCTTCAGGCTCTCGACCATAGATGATTTATTCTACTAAAAAGACGACACACAAATCTTCCCATTCATTAGATGATCCATGCTAAAATCTCATGTGGAAAAAAACAAACAATACCATCATCAGCACCCCCCCCCCCCCCTCAGGTCACCCTCCTCCATCTCCTATTCCTTTAATAACGAGCCTTGAGCCGGTATTGGTATGAAGGAGGTTAAGAGAGGATGGTGCGGTGGTGTGAGATTGCTTCAGTCTAACAATTTCCTGTCCTTTCATCACCGTTAGCAACCCAACGTCATCACAAAGAATGAAGTTAATTACACACCACTCTCATCTAATAAAAGTAAGCACATTTCAGGGGCACTTTCAATGTCCATTAGGTACTTGTAGCGTTCCGGAGTCATAAACCAGATTTATTTAATTAATGGTCAGTCTCAACATAAGGAGCAAGTAATTGCTCAAATGAGTCCAATCTTTACATTATGAAATATTGTTTTGTCTGAAGTAATGGATAGGATTGAAGGGAAGGGGGGGGGGGGGGTAACTAAGATTAATGTATAGACAAGATTAATGTATAGAATACAGTAATAACAAATATACATGTATTTTGTGTAATCTCATAAGGCTTACTGACAGATGAAACAAAAATATAAAAGGTTGTTATGAAAAGAAGGAAAAAAACACTTACCAATCTGTCATTACTGATGCTTTTCTCATTCAGCCCTACAGAACACAGCTGGTAGTAATACTTCAAGAACCACAGTTTCAATTCTTCTGTTAGATTTACTGAAGAAACAATATAAACAATACATGACTTGTACTAATTTATAGGAATATTTTCTAACATCTCATTAGGAATGCAAGATGGAAAATAAAGGGAAGGTATTTCACCCATTTTCCCCTCAAAATGATAACTTTGCCTTTCTAATAGAAAATAATACAGGTAGTCCATCATTCGAGAATATCACAATGTATCTATTGATTCTTATAAATTCAATAGAAATGACAAAGTGTTTGATTTATGAATGATAATGAATGAAACATATTTCCATTTCTTCTAAAAAATATTGATTATATAATATTCATTTCCCCCATGATTCTAACATCGTTTACTCAAGTGTACTTGAGAGGATAACAAAACCTTACTGGGGCTGTTATGAAGAAACCATTTGCTAAGAGCTAGAATTGCATCACACCACATAGGTTTTGAGAGCACAATTAGGTAACACCCTTTGGTTCTCATACATGGGGAAAATACGGATAACATGAAAGCCTTTACTTGTATTAGGGCCAAATTGAAATCTGAAGCAATGATTTGAGTATGCCTTGGACTATTTTAATCTGAAGATAGACTTACTATACATATTCTAGATTGCAAACAGCCAAGTCTTTGTTAAAACAGAAGGGGAAAAGGTTGCTATCATTTTTAGACAAAGGATCACAATTATTGATCCCTCAGCTCTCAATCAAGCTCCTTTAAACTGCCCAATTTGTAAGAATCTGCTGTCATATGGGAGATGAAAATGCGCCTAGAGCACATCAAGCCTTCAAGGCAGCCAAAAATAGAGAATTTAATCAATCCTTCCTCGCAAGTAATTGGCAATTCACTCCAGAGTCAGACTAATACAAATATATTCACAAAATGCTTGCTTTTCCAGAGATGTACACAGTTGTAGGTGTAAAACTGAGGATAAAGATAGCTTTACTAGAAGTTTAGCTCTCTATTACTTACCTGATAAACCATGGCATAATCTTCCAAACTGTTTGGCGACAGAAGGTAATGTGGAGTCTTCGTTGTTCATGGCATTCTCACAAAACTTACGAACTAGGGGAATGATGGTTTGTGTGCAGGTATCTAAGGGGATAAACACATTTAAAATTCCAATAATGAAATATAAATATTTTAAATGGTTTGGTCGATTTCTTAGGGTGTCATATACCTCTTTCCCTTGATTCAACTCACTCAAAGTTTATCATAACTGTAATCAAAACATACATTTTTCAGAATGTGTTCATATCTTTTCAATTTAGTTAGAGAATATTTTTTAAATTATCAGGAATCATTTGAACTTTATAACTATTCTTTTCTGTTTTCTATCTGATTTGGTAAGTAGTACAATTACAGTCGGAACACAGGTGAACGTACAATGCATGCATTACTGAAGGACAAAAGGTTGAGTTGTCTGGCATGTTAATACAAATAACATGAAATACAAATGCATCATTAATCAAATGATAACAACAAACATTCAACAATAACACTACATACATATTGTATATAGCAATAAATAATAAGACATGCAAAGCGGAACACTGATGTGCATGATCATATTCAAATGGATCCAATTAAAAGTATCATGAATTGAATTCAAGATAAAGAAAGCTTCTACAAAGTATGTTTTAAACGCTTTGAATATTAATGCAAATACAGTCTTTTCATGTACCATTTATCCCAAGGTCTGAACAACTTTGTGTCCTTTTAAAATAAAGGTTCAATTTCAGGTTTTGTTTTGTTTTACAGCTTCACAATCTAGTTCCATTGTACGGGTACAAAGGGCATTTTATGTTTAACATTCCTTGTTCATATTTGCATTCTGTAATACCTCCTGGGTTTCCATTGTCTGAATAAATATAATGAATGAAAGGAAAGTGTATTTTTCTCATATACCAACTGCCAATATCAAAAGTGACTGTAAATAATGATGGACTAGAAGCAAATGTCTATATGATATGCTGATAGTATTGAAAATAGAAGATATGTGATTAAAATATTGGGAGTGTGTAGTGGTATATTGGTGAAGTCTTGTGATTTTCCTACAAGAGATTTTAGGTTGGATTCTCACTCGGTGCTTAATACATTCTTGGACAAGGTGTTTGGCCCATATTTGTGCCTCTCTAGTCTCTACCTAGGTTTACCTAGGTGTACATGTACCTGGCAATGCTGGGGTAATAATAAATGCAGGGCCCGCAGGAAGAACAATTTTAATACTGACGTGGCTACCCTGGGTAAATATGACCCTAAAATTATTATTATAAATAATTTAAAATTCAACTTAATAGAAAGAGGAAAATTTTCATAAACATTCAACAATCATAACTAAAAGAAAGTATCGGGAATTGGACCAATAGTTTTCAAATTTTGTCTGAAATATTATCAGTAAAGAAAATATGTAACTTGGAATCGTAACTTTTGGAAAGCTAAAAACTTAACTGATAAAAGTTGATATAAGAAATCTTGCTGATAATGTCATGTAAATAATTATTACAGACTACAAATTATAATTAAACCACTGAATAGTAACATGGTATTAGGGCAGAAAATTGAAAATTTTCATAGAAGTTCTCCCATGGTATATGTAAATTACACTTTTAAATTATACTTCTCCTTGACAATTAATCAACTATAACATTTTGAGGGAATAAGATGCATAAAATGACTGCATAAATTGCCCGCAAAGGGCATTAGCTTGTATCCCTTACCACTGAAGATGCACTAAGCAACAACAAAAAAAGAATATATTTTTTATTTTGTGCTGAATCTTTCGCAAGTAGTTTATAAGAAAAAAAAGATAATAGAACTACTTTCACTTTTGCATCAAAAAGTTTTAAGTGCAAAAACCATCTTCAATCTTACATATATTTATTGTATTCATCCGTACGGTGGGACTAGACCTTTAAGAAAGATCAATCACAAGCACTGCTTTGTGCCAGCTAGACATTACGCCTATAATACCCCATTCCCTTCACGAGAGCATTGAGATTTCTCCTTCTTAACAACCGATTGGGAACAATGATGTCAAACACTACCCTTGTCAAATGTTTGCTTTGAATGCTTAGCAACTCCATGGCATCCTTGCATGACTGTGAAGTAATATGGTTGCTGCTGGTGAAAGTGAATACAATCAAGGGTACAGTGTTTGCAAATCACCCCAATTCGCACTACACAGGCATTTTAAACCCCGTACTTCAAGACACATTCATTTTAAACCTTGAAATAGAGCATCAGTTACTCTGTGGTCAAATAATTTTAAGGATTTGAAACATTATCTATTCTAGGTGGGGGGGGGGGGGGGTTATCATATCTTTTAGCTCCTGGTTGGAATTAAAGAACAACAATGAGAGCTACTTGTCTGACAGACCCAAATTTGTATATAAATCCAATAAATATAGATGCAATGAAATGTATCAAGAGTTTAAGGTATGTGATTTATGCATTTTCAGACCAATCAATATCTTGAGAGTTGAATGCCTCAAAAATAATACTGCTATAATATTTTATAACTTCCATCCTCCTTATTCTTCAAAATTCATCAAAATAAAATTAATGGAAGAAATTTTGAACACAGAGGATTTAATCTAAGATTACTTTCTTGCCGGGCTACTTCTTGCCAAATTTCTCACTACAAATTTGACCATGCATGGAGTGGTTTTTATTACAAAGTTGACACCTCTAGCAAGCTTTGGATACCAGCATCAGACTAACAAGAGGCTTAACGTACAATACTGGAGTGCGTTCACAATTGAAAGCATGTTTGCGTTTCGGGGACATGAACAAACACAGCAGCAGTAGCAGACAATTAAATCTGCCAGACTACTATGATGCTGTGTCAACCAAGCCAGTGTAAATAATTTGTTGAACAGTAAAGGAGTGTGACTTGGAAAGCAGAGAAGAATGCCTCATTGAAAATGATGTTGTCTGGGACACCTCAGGACGACCCGCTGGGAACGTTATTATTTTATACATGTACACCATGTACATGTACATTGTATGTTTCAACTATTGAAGGCTCAAGCATAGCAATTCAACAGAGTCTGGGAAGCTATGACTTTTCCACATACGGTTCAAATGTTACCGCTTTCCATGGAACAAACATGAAATGTCCATGATCATTTCTTGTTTTTTTATATTTTCAAAAATAATGTCTGACATGAAAGATGTTGATTAAAAAATTTAAAACAAAAATTGAATTCATAGTGAGCTGATGATAACATAATAAACAAATTTCTCACTCATGATTAAGGCACCAAAACTAAAATGAAAAAATAAAAGGTCAATAAATTAATTTTGACAATCAAATTATTTCAAAGCAATATCAAAATAAAATAACTAAAAAGAAGAAAAAAAAACAACACCAAAATACCCAACAGCAAATAAACAATAACTTTAAAAGCAAAATGTCACAATACAAAACAAACATACACAAAACTGACACCAAATTGTGTAAACCAAAAGAATTACAAGAAATAAAACCTGATTGATGCACACAAGTTTTTAAAAATATAACTGAAATTGACACAGACTTATATAACCAATTTGAACAGCTTTTAAGAAACACATATTTATATATTTTAGACAAGAAATTATTAATGAACAAATCTTAAAGTGCAGTTTTCAGTTTCCCTTAGAACATGGGTGAAATTCGGAAAGAGAAGTTTTCAAATCAATGCGTCTACCTTTGTGTCAATAAACTTAAGAGAGACCCTGTATCTTAACGAGCCAATTGTATATTATGACTAGGACATCATCATCTCATTACTCCCAATTAGACATGGTTATATTCCCCTCCAGGGTTCAATTTACAAGACCAAGTTCTGTGACGAAGACCATGTGTCTCTAACCAACAAGAATGTCATGAATTTTGTCACTGCTTCTCATCTGTTTACAGTTATCCTATCGAATCCGTTCTTTTCTAAAGCTATATTTCAGTTTATTTTATTCTTGCCATTGTTCATTTTTATTATCTGAACTCTACTTGCTATATTGTAATATTGTTTACCTTAATTGTCTCTCTTAGTGTTTATATTTCTTTTTGACATAAGGCATTACTAATATGATAACAGGGTGATGTTCATTTATGCTTTTTATGATTTGTTATGCATTTAACATGCACATTGAGTGTGAAGTTAAATAATTTGAGCATCGTACTACAAGTACATACAAGAAAAACCATTGGACACACAAACATGGACACACAAACATGGACCCCCAAAAAACACATAATAAAAGTAAAAGAGCACACACTTATGTCCATATCAAACATTGATGATAAAAAGTGTTCTTATTGACCTCATGATGAAGAAAATAAAAACAAACCCTAACAAATCAAAACCAATAAAAAACAAATGAGTATCAAAATGTAAAACAATGACATATGAATTACCACAAAATGAAGCAATCACGAATAAAATCTTGACATTGAAAAAGAAAACAATTCACATCAATCCTACAAACAAAATTAATAAGTAAAGTAAATACAGGGCAAAGCGACAATCAATTTGTCAAAACAAAACTGAGTGATAAGTGTCTTGGCTCAAAACTTTGCATCATGCCATTATCCATTAGAATGGTATGTAATGATTATGATAACAATGTGGTAACATAGTTTCATGTATATTGGATGATATGTCTTCATTTTAATGAGTTATGATTATGTACATTGACAAAAGCAAATGTTCATTACACAAGAGCTTCAACGGTTAATGTCCATGTTTCATCGACTCATTAAACGGTGAGTCAAAAGATACATACAGGATGTATCACTATCATGTTGCTTCTGCGGGGAAACAGATCCTATCTATGACATTCATCTTACATTGCTCATTGCAATGTTTTCTTAGGTAGAAGGTGGCTGACCCATTGTGCGAAGAAAGGTCACGTATTGATGGAGCTGGTTTACATATTATTGTGATGACTGAGTGTAATATCAATGAAGCATGGATGTGTCATGGTTGTCTTGATGATGGTGCATGTACATGTACTTAAAGATAAACTTGAGTTCTGGAAAAAAAAGAAAATGAATTCTCACAGAATCTAACGAAACTTACACTGAATGTTCAAGATTACAAATAAATGTCATGTGCCAAACAATTTTGGAAGAAAATGTATACTGGCTGAGTAATGAGCATAGAAAGATAAGGAAATCAGGGTAGTACTAGCCCCGACACCATGTGTGTTCTCCCATATACATCTTTCTGTGTAAGTGATTGTTACTTTACCAAGACTCTGCCACATTTATGATGATTTTGATGACTCCAGAACCTTGCATTACACACCATTACTTACATGCTATATGATCAACTTTTCTGATCCATTCCACACCTTTTCTTTCACAATGCAATCGCATTACCAGAACTCAAGTTTATCTTTAATAGCACTTACTGCCTTTTTTTTTGGGGGGGGGGGGGACAGAACTCATATATAGTATGTGCATACGTCAAACTAAATGATTCATATCAAACAGTGTTAGGAAACAAAATGGGAGAATCAGTACCTGGTGGTATGAAATTCACTGTGAGCCATGCAGAAGGAGAGAGTTATTTGAAAAAGATAGGTTAGGTGAGCTACTATTATCGAATGCTACGGACATCATGATTAATATTCTGTTAAACAACTGAATTTAGACACTTTTAATACAACCAGTTGACAGCATATCGTTTCTAATTCCTAATGTCTCAATCAATAAGCTCCACTCTAACGTATGCATTTGGTCATATACCCTTTTCACAAACAAATAGAGATTATGGCAGTTTGATGATTAAATCATCACATTCAAGGTAAAATCTATTCAACATTTGCAATAGGTATGTCATTGTAAACATTATTGTACAAAATGGCCTTGACTTTATGCTTCTATGATAAGCTCCTATGATAAGAGTAGATATTAAGGGCCACAGATTACATCTGTACCATATAATAGTAAAATAAACAAAGCTAAAGAAAGTTAAAGAAAGATGAAAATGGCAAATCTTTCTTCTTCAATCTTTGTCTAATTCATCTGACTGGCAGACATGTCATTTAATGAATTCATTGTTTGTTTCTTTTTTTCTTCAAAAAAACTATTAGTTTGTGCAATCAAAATGCAGTTCAATTCAAACTTCTGTTAGGCAAAGTCAACTATCAGTCATTCCATCACTCACACATTCCTTTACGCCAAAATAAGTCATATTTCTTGTTTAAAAATGCAAAAATTATTCACCAATTTAAATCAATTTAATCCAAGAAATCAATTAAAAATCGCTGATGTTCTTTTCTTTCAAATTTCATTATACGACATCAGTAATGAAAAACGGCTTAGTGATATTTTGTTGTTGCTGCTTTTTTTGTCCAACCCTGCTTTCAGGCATGAAAATTCATGTGCTTTCAGAAAAGAAAAGAAAAGAAAGATGTCACACAAAATGCTGCTCTAATAACAAATCTCTTTTTGCACTTCTGTTATGATTTATGAGACTATGAACATGTCTACTGTCTACCCACATGTGAAAAGGTAAAGAAAAGAGAACCACGTCACCCAACAAACAAAGGAAATATCGTCCCTAGAGAGCCAGTAGGGCATTAACTCTGCGTAAAAGTATATGAATTAACGCCTTTAAGGCTCTAAGGAGACAATACAAAGACAATGTGACTTACCATCGTCTAGAAGACTGAGTAAGCTAACTATGGTTTCTAACGCCGCTAGTCTGACGCAGCTCTCCTCATCCTTGCCCAGCTCAACCAGCTCGGGTAGTATTGCACTTCTTGTAGGCTCCAGGCTGCAAGATGAAAGTTAAGAATAAAATGTTAATGCCATATCAGTAGTTTATCAAGAAGTACTATGCAGACAATCAATTGAGCTCAAGAAAAATGGAAGTATACATGTTTTACTTGTAATCTATTTCTATGTGTTCTTACGCAAATGCAAAGTTGTAGCTTTTCTCCAAAAAGGTTTTACAAAAGCAGATATTCTTATTCAAACTTAATTTAGATACTTTTTTTCCTTCATATTTCAGGCTGCAAGCATATTCTAAATTCTGCCAATAAAATTCAAGCAAACAAAGTTACCAAAGTCTAAAATCTTTCAACAAATATGAGATATTATCATTTTACATTTTACATCATTCTACATATGAAATGATGCAAGGCCTATCTACGTGTAGCTGCAGGGAATGGCGACATCATACCCTGGCGTGAACTTTCCCCCATCTACGAACCACACTGACGAGCCATCTACAAATGTAAGGAAATCATAGTCATACCCGATGTCCCTGTCTTACGGTCATTTTATCTACCTGTTGACACATGTAATGATATTGATGTCATATCCTGATATGAACTTAGTCTTCCAGCTAAATGATTTAGCTGTTTACATACATTTAGGATAGCAATATCATACTGTACCTCGATGTAAACTTTCCCAAAGTCCTCTGGCCACACTATCAAGCTGTTCACACATGTATAAAGGATAGCGATATCATAACCTGATGTGAACTTACCCCAAGTCCTCTGGACACACTATCAAGCTGTTCACACATGTTTAAAGGATAGCAATATCATAACCTGATGTGAACTTACCCCAATCCTCTGGCCACACGATCTAGCTGTTTACACATGCAGGCTCTGACTTCATAATCCACATCCTGACACAGAGATGTCACCAAAGGTAAAATTTCCTTCTTGATCCTGAAAGATTGTTAAAAAATGGAAAAATAAAATAATTTATAAATACTGCAAATGTAAACCACAAGCTTGTGACCCATGACTCAAAGATAAAAAGTTTCAATAATAGTTCTTAACCTCATTTCAGTTTAATTACATTTATACCTCTGTGTATTAGTCATTTACTTATACATGCACATAGAAATTTACAATTTAGTTGTTGATAAAAATGAAAGGGTGAGGCTATCCCCATCCAACTGTCATGGGCTTCGATATAATGCTGCCATGTATATTGTAAACAATTATCATCATGTAATTGTTACTACATGGAACATTGATAGGTGTACAATTTCCTTTGATAGATTCATATACATGTATGTTAAAATTTTATTCCATGAAATGATAGGAGTGAATTTCAATTCAATTACTGCTATGGAACCTCCTGTAATTTCAAAATCAATCAATCAAGATATGAAAATTCCAAAGTATGAAACATGATTGATCAGCCTCTTTAAAACAGAACAGAAGCCAGACAGAACCTCTCCCCTAGCCCCAGCCTGGCCAGTCAGGGGCCAGTCAGTCAGGCAAGGGTCATGCTGGGAAGTCTCTATCACTCAAGCCATTCTTGATAAATGAGTCAATTAATTCATCGCAGCAGTGAGAAAGGTCGCACCATACGAGACGGTGACTGGTTGCTACTTGGCTTCTTCATACCAAGTTCATATTTAAGGTTGGGTTTGGAGCAAGTATGAAGTGAATTTTATTTACTTGATCCTCATACAAAATTGATTTCTTAAACAGAACTCAATGTCTTGCATTTCCTTCTTTCATGGGAGCACAAATATGTCTTGCAAACAATATTGCCCTCATGGAAACATATGAGCAAACTTGACCTTACACCTATGAATACCAAGTCAGGTTTTGTTTTTTAATCCCTTCCTCTCCCAATCTTTCATCAGGGGCTGCTTGTAAGGTCTAATTCTCTTCATTTATATTCTCCTTCCATTAGTAATTCACTTCTCACTCTTTTGTTAGAAATATGGGAATAATACAATTTTCTTCCAGGAAAATCATACTAGTAAGGGCGCACAAATATATACTACAGGCCTATATATATGGCTTAAATGCAAACAACTTTGGCCTTGAAACATGAAACCAGGAAGGAATATTTCCTTTCCTTTCCCCCATTTCCATCGACCATAATAGCCCCATGCATAGACCTACAGCCTCTACAGGTCAAACTACAAGTGCTCTCAACCCTCTAAACTTCACTTTCTTTTATTCTCTCATTAATCAATCATTTTACAGACACTCATACTGTCAAAACATTATTATCATTTTGTCAGATTTGAAATATATGGTATTCAAGTATTATCACAACAACGGAGAGAGAGTAAATCATCTCTGTACATCTCAATCTCATACAAATAAATACAAAATAGAAGGAACAAATACTGTACTGTTTACATAAATGTAACTATTTGTCAAGCATGGTGGTGGTGAATACACTGGCACATAAATCTCTCACACGGGTCTGATACATTCATGTACCATGTACCCTATAAAACTACATTCCTAGTGTACTCTGACCCACTTTTGAAAGGAAGGTAAGATGGTCTAAGGGGAAATCTCACTCAATCGCTGGCTCCATACCAAAGGGCATGCGCATGAATCTATCAAGTTTCCTTCACATTTTTTTGTTGATTTCCATTCCTTATGTCTAGTATTTATCCTAGCTAAAATCTCTCTCTCTCTCTCTCGCTCTCTCTCTCTCTTTCTCTCTATCATATTTTGCTTTCCTTTGCCTGCATTCTTCACTGAATTGCAATTTAGTTTCTCTTTCTAAATTATAATATATTTCCCTTTTGTGCTTTACCTCGTATTTGTCAATCCTGTATATATCCATGTACTATGATAACAAAAATTCAGACAGTGAGTCATTGACATCTACATGTACATGTAAGTAGCACCTAATATACATATATGTAATGTTTAGTCACTACCTGTACACTATTCTTACTCCAGCTTTAGCCCGAGTAATGGAAATAGTAATAGAAACTAGTACTCTTCCCATTCTATCAACAGTTTCATTTTCATTCCTTTCTTTCTCGCTTTCTTTTAGTTTTATGTCCATCCTTTCTTCCTTCCTTCCCCCTTTCTTGCCCCCCTCCCCATCATCCCTTCACTCTCAGCACTACAGACTCCCATGGTAGAGTATGTGTTGTGACAGCATTGTTATGAGTAATGAAGATGTTTTATGAAGGCAACATCATCCCCAAGCATAACAACTCATTAAAAGCCTGCTAGCACCTCTAATGAGGATATACAAGATCCCTTGAGATCAACCTTCCCTCAATTGGGATTTTTTGAAAGGAAACATGCTTTAAACTCTGTTAATTAATACTGAATACCAAATATGAAAGTATTTTGTTTACAACTGACTGTCAAATCACAAAGCTTTGTATGCATGCAACTCTTGCAAAATTTCATGATAGGTCTATTGGCACATATGGTTAAACTGATGAAATTGTAATATTGAATATTTGCAATTCACAGAAGCTTCTTAACACAAAAATGGCTGTTGTTATCAACTTGAGAGAGTTTCTAGTTTAACAGTAATGTTTTGCTTTGCTGTATCAGTAGTATTATGTACACCAGTCAATTTCATTATAACCTTCTAGTATCTTATCAAAGCAATAAGAATGAGTTACAAAGATCAAACTTGTTTAAACTGATCTTATCTATATACCCAACAGATTACCATTCTTCAGAAAACAGTGTCAATAGTATATGGAACAATTAGGACAAATACAATAAACATAGTTGTATTTAATTTCATTGCACTGCAAAGCATGGGTTTCTTTGTAAAGAGTTTATGACATGTCTAGGCAACAAAAACCTGCACAGACATAATGAGTAAGTTGTGAATAATTTCAATCAACTTCCCGGAGGGTAATACAGTAATACCAAGAACAAGTACCATAAAGGCAACAGTACTTTAAATAGTCACACAAATATTGAGTTCTCCTGATGTAAAAACTCGGATGTATTAAACCATATTCATGTATGCTATTGTGAGCAGTACAATAATATGCTAGCAGGACCTTGATTGTAATGGCATTCAAAAGGTGTTGATATTTTGTCTGCCTCCTAACTTCCTGATTTGAAATCTGAAAAATTAAATAGCAATTTTCAAATAAATGTAGAGATTTCAACAGCAACGTTAAATAAACGTCATGCAAAATGACAACAACTACCAAATGCGCCTACCTATACATGAGTTTTATATGTAATGACCAATAAGCACCAAAACATACAATCTACATTGCACAGCACAAACAGCCAATATATCCTGCAATTTCCATAATTGCACATACATGTAAAGTCAATATTGATGTACATCAATGCAATACACTCAATATAGGGGCAATCAACAGCAATACATTTTCAAGTTGATCTAAAGTCAATATGTATTAAGTGTATTTATTAGTTTGACTCAAACATTTATTTTTATTAGATACAAACTCTAAAGGTTATAGGGAATGGGATGACACATTAATGTGAACTATGAACAATTGAACATGAATTTATAGCTAGGGTAGGGAAAGATATACAGTATGTAAACGTTAGTGCATTCGGGGCATGAATAGTTTTTGGGTATGTATCGATGACTCAAATTTTTCATAAACTTCTGAATCACTTTAATAAACTTTCAATGTTCTTCAGTATAACACTTCATTTTCAACAAAGCTACACATTTGGTTTTAACAAATCAAACTTCAGTGAAAAAGTACATTTTACTCCGAACAAGCAAACAGTCATCTCATTCCCCTTCACTTGCTACATGTACTATATCACGCAGGTGATCAGGTTTATCTGGAGATTCGAAAGTTTGTTTGATATTCCACGGTATAAGGTATCAACAGCTGCATGGCTTGAACTTTAGCATGGTCACGATCTGTGGAAAGAGAGCTCTATTCATACTAGCCTTAAAGGTAATACAAAGTTTTGGGAAATTTTGAAAATTGGGTGGATAGTGAATTTTTACAATTTTCATATGTTTGGAAGCCTCTTTGGATGTATTATAAGCACTACAAAAATTAGCCCCTAAAACACTTCTGTTTTCGAGAAAAATTGAATATAAAAATTTACCGGTGCTCCCGGTAAATTTTGATAAATTTCAAATAGCGCCTATGGCCGTACAATGGTAGCTGCGACCATGAAAATCTCAGACTATGTAGTTGTGATATATAATTTCCAAACGGGAATAGCTAATCGGTCGATTTTAGTCAAGAAACATTGTTTCAAAGCTAAATTATTATATTGACCTTGAGAGGGAGCTATACAACATAAAGAGTTTATTATTTATAATTTCATAACTTCAGACTCGATTTCAACCGCGACAACGATCAATGAATATTGTAGGAACGCATATGCTTCCAATATTTTAATTTGAACCGAATTCATGACCCCATACCAAAACTTTGTATTACCTTTAATGTAACAATGTCTGGTATGTGAGGCCTACAGACACCTCATAGAGGAATAGACTTTCATCCTGTTCACACAAGAGGGAAACTCGTACAAAGAAACGTTCTTCAAAGAAAAAGACGTGATAGGGAAGTAGGGGAAGTTATTGTGCACACTTGATAAAGAGAGTACAGATCATACAATGATATCGTAATAATACAAATCTCAGACAACTAACTTTTTCAATTTCAACCCAGATAAAATGTCATACATGTGTAGTGTATGCAGCAAAATAACACATAAACCTAGACTAAAAATATATTTGGTTATATGACATTAAAAAAATAGAGTAATGCTTTAAGACAGCTATAGCGATAATGCACAAAATGTACAGGCTGAATATCATTCCCCCATCCCCTTGATGGTAGGAAAATACACAAGATGAAATTTTTCTCTCTCTCTCTCTCTCTCTCTCAATAGCATAAATCGATCTGCTATTTTGACAACAATCAGAATATTTTCCACCTTTTCTGGATAGTGCAATTGAAAATGGCAATTGATCTAAGAGCCTTAGGATGATGTAAAAAATTATTTGCTCACAAACTTTAAATTGATGGCATTTGTGGATATCACTGTATCTAGAGCTCTGTGTGAAATTAATTTCCTGATGTTGCTATTTCGCATTCCATCTTTCACACCGCCGATAAAATTCATTTCTCAGTCCACCTTGACTTCTACGCCGACTGGTAGCTCCCGACAGCCACCAGAGTAAACAGACTCACACCGTGGTACAATGCAATCGGTGTTATTTCTTCCATACAATAGATACAAACTCATTGAAATGAAGCAGGTAAAAGACTTACATGAAGGTGTCAAAACGTGTGGCAATCTTTCCCAGCAGTCTACAGCTAGCCAGACGAGACTGAACAGACTGGGCCAACTGGCCCTTGGATAGTGCAACGGGTAAGATCTAGAAAGATTGAGACATCAGAAATGGTAATGAGAATTCCATTTATAAATCAAAGTTCCCGCCTTTGATATATATTTTCATCATGGAATTACTTCTTCATTAACAACAAATAGACATTTTTATAAGCTCACAGGTATCAAGTATACTAATAAAGTACATTTACATGTAGGTCTTGAATTCTTTCTAGACCTTTACATTTAAAACTAAAATAAATGATGATAACTTTAAATTGACCTACACCTGTACATTAGGTACAGTATGAAAGAAATCATACCTTTTTACACATTGCTGCAATCCCCCACCCCTCACACCCCAGTTTTTTTTAAATATTTAACTATTGTCAAAAGAACAAAAACAGAACCAAAAAAAGTACTGCGTGTGAAAAGCCAGCACTTTTAAATGTCAAAATCTAGGCATCAGCTGTTATTGTGGTTTAGAATGGCTTTGTTCCAGAGCGCGGAGGAATGTACCACTTAATTCATAAAAATCTCTGAACCAACTCGTAATTCAATGCACAGTCGCTCCACTATTGTAGTAAGCACTACGGCTGTGACATTTGTTTATTTAGATTGAATAATATATGGACCAAAACAGAAAATCAAAGAGGTCGTGAATTCAGAAAGTGCTCTGCATTGTGATTGAAATGTAAATAAATACCTGTTGATTACATTGGTATTTCGGTCATGCTTGATTCCAAAAAAGAGCCCATATTTGTTGTCAAATGTCATATTTGACGCTTTCCAAAGATTACCAATATTTATCTTGCTCTACACCTATAAATTGATCTCCTTTAAAACTGTTGGAATATCTAAATAAACAAATACATTAGCACAATTTTATACACATATAAGCCCACTACATTGCATGTAGCGGTCTACCCCCATTTCCGCATTTCTCTTCTATTTTTAAATCCAACTTCACAGGTGTTTCATTTCATTGCTGTTTAAGAATCAAATTACAATTGCAATGAAAATAAGGAAAAAAAGATATCACTTCTAACAATACACCTACACAACTCATTCACAAGACCTACAAATTCTTGTTTGCATTGACATTTTGGACAAGAAGTACAGTGGTGAATTTTGCAAATAAACATGTTGATCAAGACAAGGTGACATTTTTGGAAGCCATGTGTTGCATGAAATTGTAAGGAATCAATGCAGACAATGATATAGTGTGATATGGTTTCTAGATAGTTGTCGTCAACACATTCTCCACATGCATACAGACATGGGACACAGAATATCCCCCCCCCCAAAAAAAAAGAAGAAGAAGAAGATAAGTCTGAGGTCTGAGGTCTAAGGTCCTGATAGGGTTACAAGGTAACTAACAAACTAACTAACTAACAACATATCACTAACTAACAACTACTATACAACTTGATAACATTACAAGTTTGTAACAATAAGGCCCATCTATACTTTGGTCCAAGCAAGAGGTAACATTGCAATTTTAATTTGATGCATGATAAAGATAAATGCAAAGCAACTTCTTGCAATAAGAAAATGGAATTTTAGGGAGTTAGTAGACATGAAATAAGATGTACTTACATCTTTCTTGAGGACATCTTTTGGAAGATGTGCGATGACTTTGAGTAAAACGTCTAACCAGGCATCTGAGATATCTACACAATTTTTTTTTAAAGAAAATATCCAGTCATTATTTTCATAAAGAAGGAGGAAAACAGTGAAATTGCTGTCACCCTAAAATGTAGTAAATAGGGATATCAAGGTTAAGGTTTAAAATAAATTAGAAAAATTGGGGGTGGGATGCTTTTTATTTCTCTATCCCCAAAAATGATGCAGACCGTATTTTATGTTTTATTCAACATGAATTAAAGAATCAATAGGGTTTGCATGATATTACAGGTGTACTATGCAAATAGAAGCCACCCTCAGACATTCGGTTGGTTATAGGAGTATGTAGACAATGTTAGTATTGATCTGTTGTGTAATTCAGTACACAGCAACAAGCTTATACAGTATAGGGTCTCGGGAAGATAAAAGACATCTATTCAGACCAGCAATCAATAATCACATCATGAATGAATCATCGTTTATAATACATATCTGTGACAAAATCCATGTGACTCTCCTTGGAGCTGGTGTTAAACATGGTCATTACTCGATCTCATCCTTTAAATCTGTTACTTTACTTTCTGTATCTACACTATACCTAATACATCAAACTCCATGCATGTTAACCATAACATTTTAAGCTTTTGCAGTAAACAAAGTCTATAGAAATGCACTGTAGTACATATATTGGGTTCTTGTGAACATGAAAAAAAAAGTTGACAAGTCAAACAAAACTACACAAAGTGTATGGGAATTTGATAATGCCAAGCAAAAGAATTGAGGGTTACCTTGATAACAACAGAACACGAAACATTTTCTGTTTTACCAGAACATAGTTTTTAGTAAGTTTTTTTTTCTTTTTCAAAACACATTGTATTTCAGAATTTTATTATTTTGATAGCTTTGCTTGAAAATTTCTGAAGATAACATTTAACTTCATTTGACTCCCATCAAATATCTGCTGAGAACCAGACGGGTTCTATCAAAACATGAATTGTAACGTTGAGTCAATGCCCTTCTAACTTTCAGCAGATGCTGTAATGCCTCGGTCACATTTGCGTATTTGGCTTGCGTATTGCTGCATATTGCCCAAATGCAGACATACACTGTAGGCAGTCATACCCAATAAAGCGCAATGAATCGTGCTCACTAGGTACTCAAGTCTTTGTACGAGCAGCATACGAGCTACAACTGTACCTACGAGCTAGATATGCAATAGTGTGACTGCTTTCTTTAAATTTGCCGGGTATTGCTGTGTAGTGATATACTCCTCATAGCGCAGCAATACCCAGCAACAAACGCAAAGGTGTGACTGAGCATAAGGCCAAGTGCTATCAACGGACCTGGGTCTCTATTATCGGCATTCTGCAGGATGGTCTGTAGGAATGTCTGTGCATAGGTGAGGTGTGGCACTGATTGTTCCTCCGCTATCTTCACAAAGGCTGCTGCCGCTGCCTCCTGCAAGTCTTGGTTGGCTAAATGAAGTACATCCTAGGGAAAGGTAAACCATTCAGGGGAAATTAAACATACATGTAGACCGGATATTCGGATAACGGATACATAAATTTGATTAAAGGAAAAAAAAAGCTTACTAGATGCATTGCAAATGTAACAAACAACAACAACAACAAAATAACTTCAAGTTCAAGGATAACTTTTTTTCACTCTAGTATTCATATTAGATTAGGCCATGTGAAATCAACAGCTTTTGTAAATATTTCATGGCTCAGACATGAGGAATGCTTCAATTTAAGAACCATGTCGTTCTCAGTCCTTCTCTGTCCTTCTCTATTCTGTCACTGGTTACTGCTTGGTTCTACCATAGTACCAAGCACTCAAGAGGTCTGCTGAAGGAAACCATTTTTTAAACAGTAGCAGTCAGTGGCCTAATGCTTAATTTGTTTAATGTGTCAAACTTGTGGTCATTGCGAGTTATTTCAGTTTTTGCATCTGATCAGCACCAGGCTCAATTGAAAAAGGCAAAGTGTAAAAGTCAATGTGGATTTACACTACACTATAAACTGTATATCCTACTCATAATGCTGAGATAATGCTGACATACTGTACATGTACCATCAAGATCTAAATCATATAAATGGATGTCTAACTTGTTAACTCAGTATAGATGTGAATGCAGGTTTTACAATATCGACTGTCTGAGCCTTCAACTGTTTACAAAAGCTTTTGATTTCACATGGCTTCGATCAAGAATTCATATCCATCATTTCAAAACATGACTGCTTCACTTCAATCAAAGTCTTGTCACTAACTGTAAATCTATCTACAGACATTGAACTACCCGTACAGGCACAATCATAACTGTTATCACATTCACTTGACACTTACCATATCTCTCATATCTCTATGGCATGCCAATATTTGCTTTTCAACATTGGTTGTCTCTGATAAGGACGTTAGCACAAACATGGACATAGTACCTCTCAAATAAGTTTCCATATACTTCCATATACCTAGAATATGTAGTATGCAGAGGTGCAGCTCCGGAAGTTTTAATGGGTGCAGGTATTTTATAACGGTTTAATAGCGGGCCTTCAGCAAAATTTGTTTCCTGCTTGACCATGTAATCGGACTTAACATTCCTCACATTCTTCACAAACACTAAATACCAAAGCTCACATTGCTATACATGTACAGGTAATTCATGTAAACACTATTCATCAACTTCATCTACATGTATAGTGCATAAATGTTCTTTAATTCCAAAAGTTTGGATTGTGCACACTTTTGTGTGTACTCTGCACCTTGAAGATTAATTAAGAGCTAGTACACAAATATTCACACCAAATATATTTGCATTCATGAAAGGTTTTTCTTTGTTTTTTATCCATATCTAGATACATGTAAGAGAATGTTTTTTTAACTGGGATTTCAGAGGGGGGGGGGGGTGAGTTATCATAATGTTATGTTTGAGCTTGATGTGAAATTGCATTTCCTTTATTTACTTCATGCACTGATCGGACAAACTCCAAATTGACAACATTGTCCATGCCCCACCCCCAATACTTGTAAGTAAACAAACATTGTAACTTACCCTGACTTTGGGCACTACTCTGCGCATAGCATCGACATTGTTGTCCCTTAGTAGGTTGGGTAGATTCTGAATGACACTTATCCGCTGAACTTCTTGCCCAGAGCTGTAATTTGATCAGAGATTATAGCCATTAACATGGTAATAAATTTGTAACATTATCATTTGTAAAATTTGAACTTGAAATGGCGGACATAAACACGTACTAAGGTCTGTTACCAGCTGATCCGATTCATATATAAAACATACATATCTTGTAGTAATGCCCCTAAAACCTCCAAAATGACCTGCCAAAGAACCACCCCCTCCCCCACATGTCACATTACATTACATGAAAAATGTGTATGAAGTTAGCAAAATGTGATAAAAAACATTTAAAACAAGAGGACATTTCCCCCTCCCTCAAATGATACATGTCACATTACATGAAAATTGTGTATAATGTTTGCAAGATGTATTATACACATTAATACAGTGTGATAAAAATATTTAAAACAAAAAGATTGACATTTTGATTCAAATATAAAGTTAAAGCATGGGGCCAAATATCCATCTCATTTTTTTTTTTTAATGGGCCATATTATTTACATTGTAGGCTCATATCAGGTATTTGTGTGAGGTTGACACACTTTAATATACAGGGTTAGGTATTACATGTATCTGATATCTGATACACTCAGAAGAACCCCAATAGAGTCAAGTACCATTGTGTCATCTTATATGCCTACAGGTGAAATGGGATGGTATTGATTATTGGAGCCAGTGTGAACAATAAGAAGACCTATTCTCAATGGAGCTGTCATTTCAAAGGCGGGTTTGACGCTCCAACGAAGTAGGAGAAAGCCCCGCACCAGCTCCCTACAAGCTTGTTCAGTGTGGATAAGCTTGCAATCTCAATGCTAAATCCTTACCGTTAAACCAAACATCACGCAGCTTTACAAGTCGTTTTCTTCAGTTCTGATTGAACCCCAATCCACATTTAGCATTCATCTGAATCATTCATTGCTTGTACTTTATAAAGTAGCGTTTTAACAATGTTTTCAAATACATGTTGTACATGTTAATGAAGCTTTTAGAAAAGAGTATGCGTTTCAGATGGAGCAGCTACTATTCAGCCAGTTTACAAAAACAAGATAATTATACAGGTTATGGAGCTCACTTCTTACCCCCTGGTTTTAATGGCACAATGAAGAGTTGTTCCAAAGTTATTCATAGACTAAATAAAAGGACTTTATACCAATGTTTGGTAGGGGTCAGTTTATAACACACAGGGTTTTGCTTCATGTACATGTAATGGTATGATAAAAGTATTCTGAATGGTAAAACTCTCAAACGCCTCAGATATGACGGTCGCAAATCCGTGGCAGTTTTTCTGGACAAGATTTACCCTAGTTCATTTCAAGGCCTCTTGTCTAAACAGAGATGTTCATTGAACATGAACATACAGGAAAGACATTGAGATGACAGTTCAATATTGAAATAACAAGAGAAAACAACTGTGACTAAACGAACGCAAAATATTCCAATGGACACGTTGACAAGTCATTTCATCTAAGTTATCAAATGGTTTTGACACTACTTTGGATAAAGGGTTTTTTATGCACAAATATAGCTTTACATCATTTTGTGTAGTGCCTTTAATATGATTCAAATTGACATGACATTTTAGTCAATTTTACTTCAATGCGCACATGTAGCCTGCACAATCAAACAAGTGTGCCAGGCTTTTGTATTAGCACCTTTTCTTCTCTTTTCCATCTTTTTGTCCACAGGTCGACCGTAGGACGATTATGCAAATTGATTGTCTCACTTGAAAGAACTCGCCCTTGAAACATGAGCTGACAGTTGGAGAGATCAATACCACTCACCATAAGGTGTTGGTCCCAAAGGGTCAATGGTCTTATTGATTACAAAGATTGTTTATAACCAACAAAAATGTGCATGCTAAAGAGGCAGAGGGGTTGTTTGTAAGCATGTATGTATCTTTGCATATGGTGCAACCTCAAAGAGAGGTCCAATTCTCAATCACAGAAATGCCTACCACTTGTTGATATCTAGTGGGATGATCAACATAATGACATTGTGAGTGTTTTGCGATGACCAACTACAAAAAGTAAATCCCCCAGATTTAAAGGCATCGTTTAACAATGTTAAATCTGAGATGCATGGCTCTACATGTACATGTTATCAGTGTTTGTGATATGGTGTAATATTGAAGCCCTAAAACAAAATGGCTTTAAAATGATCATGATGTGACTCAAAAAAGTAAAAATCTTTGAGTGACCCGTTTTACCATACCCATTTCCCCTCAGTAGACTGTAGTGTTATAAAAACCGTTACGAAAACGAAAAATTTAATTCTGATTTCCAATCATAAATATCTCGATAATCAGACAGAAGATTGACTTGTAAAAGTCATGGGATTCCTGACTGACCTAAAGGTTTAAAATTATGATTGCAGCATATTTATTAAGAACCTGAGGCAATGTTACCAATACCGACTCACTTTAAGACTTTCTATTTTGGTCACTAAAAATAGAACTTGTGGTATACTGGCTACCCTTCAAACATATCATCCTTTCATTTCTTGGACAAAAGAAATAAGAAATCTATACATGCAAGTTTACTGATACACAAGAGGCTGCAACATGGTACACACTATAGTGACTTTACATTCTTCTCACATGTGCGTCAACTTTGAGTTTGATTTACACATTTAATAACAGGGACTGCCTCGACAGAACCTTAGGGTTTTATTTGCAGTTTCCCCAATTTATTTCTATTGCTGATTAACTTTGTATTATTCCGGTATATTTGTAGACATATTTCCATTTTGTGTGTGTTCTCTGTTCTCTATATTGTATATAAACTGTATCTTATGTGTTTTTTATGGATTTGAATTGAAATAAAACTTGAAACTTGAAACATTGTTTAGATTGAAAGTCCATCTCATAAAGACCTTTTTTCAAGCAAAACATTTTTAGACTTTTTAATTTTTATATTCAAGTGTTCACAAAGTTGCATACTGAAAGTGGAGGCCTGAAAAAGAAGTCCTGGTAAAAGTTTGCCAGATTGCTTTGTCGGCAAGTTTTTCTAAAAGAGTCTTTGTAAAGCCTCGGTCACAAATGCCTTTACGAACTGCTACGAACGCCGTACGAACGCCGTACGAACGATTTTCAGACAATGGAAGACGGAGATTTGTACGAAATTATCGTCCGTACTCTTCATTTATACTGTGTAAAATAAAGGGCTTTCATATGGACACTACCAGTAGTCAACAGTATACAACTGTACAAGATACATAATGTTGACCTTTTAAGCACCATTCCAGTATCCAATTATGATGTCTCTTGTTCATCAGTCAGTCATCAATCTGTCTAACCATATTCTTCATCAAGTTTTCCAAGAAGACATGCTATCCTCTTCAGTCATAACATAGGATACTCAGGTCAAAAAGGGCATTAATTCAGAACACAATTTTTAATACACAGGTTGTACTCTGTTCACACTATCAACAGACAATATGATTTCATGTGAAAATTGAATATTACAAGAGTTGAAAAGTTCATGACTATGCACATAGCCTACACGTACATTGTAGGCATGTATTTGCATTGTATAAGGGAGTTTACAGATACAATCTGCGCATGGGCAGATAAAGGTCATTTGTACCAAAATGGTAAAACCCACAAGAGACGAATACTGGATATGCGCTCATGAAAGTTATGTAACATAATTCATTTATGCACCAACGGTACATTCTATGATACGCAGGTGGAAGCATTCTTTTCAAGAGGTCAAACAAAAGGTATTATTCTAAAATGCTTAAAGTGGAACTTCTCCATGTGTAAAAGATCTGTGGATATTTGGGGTCATTTGTACCATGTGCTATCTGTAAACTCCCTTATTAAGAAGATTGAGAGGTGAAGTCACAAAGTTTGATCAACATCATGATTCCTCTGACCTTTCTTGTATGCTACTTGTCATGACCGATCTTGCCTTGAGGAAAGTGTATTTGATTGAGTCTGGACTTGGTGTTTGTAATTACAACAACATAACGTGATGCAAAGAAACCCCCCCCCCCCCCCCCCCCCCCCCCTTTCCCATTTAATATTTCTCTCTCCCATTAAGTGAGTGGGTACTGAGAAAATAATTGCAACTTTTCATTAGCAAAATAACAAGCAAAACTTGTATTCATATTTACAGGTATAATGTACCTTGTAAACATTTAATACGCAGATCACTCCTACCCATGTTGATGTTGATAATGTGAACACTTCAAAAATTGAACCCCCCCCCCCCCAAAAAAAAAAAAAAAAAAAAAAAAGAGGAAACAGCAATTTTTTGGGGAAAAAAGTGTATAAAACGAAACAAAACAAACTTACAACCCCCCCCCCCCCCAAAAAAAAAAAAATATATATATATATATTTAAAAATACACAAATTAATAAATAAATAAATAAATAAATAATAATAATAATAAATAAATAAATGAATGAATAAAAATATTTCAAAAAATACCTGTATTGCATCTTCTGAAGATCTGCAGTTTTGTCAAAGAAATACTAATGTCCAATTGAAATAATTTAAAGAAGATAAATTGCACATAAATACTTACCTCAGTAAGAAGACTGCTCTATCAATATCTCCCAAATGTTCATCAACTGTCAAGCTTTCTATTTCTTCAGCAGTCTAAGGGAAAAACACAATTGAAAATGAAATCAATTAAAATCTAACAAATCTCAAGACTGATATATAAATTTTTAAAAATTTACTACAAATAATTTAAGCATCCTCACAAATGTACATGTACAGTATGTATGCAGGATTGCAGGCAAAAAGACAACTGTCCTAAATGAAAGAAGAAAAATCTGAGAAGCAGACATGTGAAAGTTTGAATGATAGTAAGACACAAAGAAGGTAGCCATGAATTGTTTAAAATTGTAAGCACTGAATGAATAACACGTATGGGCATCAGTAATCTCAGTGTGACATACATGTAGTGCGGACAACTTCCCAAATTTGTTTCAAAACACAAGTGATTAAAGTGACAATTTTTCAGAAATGTATGCCCCACAGGAGGCTCATAGGAGAAGGAAAAAAAATCAATTATACACTGTATATTGGCACACAACTTACTAAATTGCCAATTTAAGGTTTACTTGGATTTAGTGATTTCATTTTTCAAATAACACTCTAATATAATTGGTCCAATTTATTTTAAATTCTTGCTTTTCTGTTTCTCTTGTTTTTCTGCTTTCATACAAATTAAAATATTACAAAGAATGGATTGCCTTAAGAATAAGAGAGTGAATGAAATGTGTATACGCTATATATAGCGAATAGGTTAAAACTTGGGGGTCTGGGGGGGATGTTTCACAAAGGTTAAGGTCCTGTCCTGTCCTGCCCTTGATGTAGATTTACATGGTCAATTCCAGCAATACGGAGATGACATTCAGACTAATTGTTTGATTATTTCAGGCCTTAAATTTCGTCATTTTTAGGGCAAGGCCAGTTTGGCCTTGAGTACCTCATATTTTTAAGGGCACCAAGGCCAAAATATTTTTACAAAAAGGGCATCGAGGCCAAAATATTTTACAAAAAGGGCATCGAGTATGAGGCCAAAAAAATTGATTCTATTTTTGTTAGATGTCATGTGTATTTTATGAAACTTGTGAGGGATCAATTTCCCATGACTTTTAGCACCAGCTTCTTCACAGAATGTATAGAGGTCTACGGTACATACAAACAAGGCGGCGGCCCGCAAGCCTTAGATTTAGCAGCCAGGAGCAAGGGGCAATTTTTTTTTAAAGTTGCCCCTTGCCCACGGGAATTTAGCAGAGCAAGGGGCAATTTTCCAAAAACAGATAGGCCCCTTATTGCCTTAATGCTTATCTAATCATAAGTTCAAAGAGAGTCTACAATGTTAATTTAATAAATAATGTGAATAGAACGATCAATTTAATAACTTCTTAATCTTAACAATATGAACAGGAAAGATTGATTAAGAACATCAAACTTGCACATTAAACAGTATTTTAAAGCAACTAAAAATATTGATGAGCAAATGAATAAATAAATTGTCAATTTCACAAACATCGAAAGTCAGAAGGACTTGGCAAGTTTACCGGGCCGGGTATCCCAAATCGAAATCGCACCTCACACACAAACCTTCCGCCACACTCTCTCGGTAGTAGGAGCAAATTTGAAGAAATTATCTTTTTAACTGTTGTATAGAAAGGTCTAGATACGCCTAACTAATGCAATAAGATGTACAAATGTCCTGAAACATTCGACAGCTGAAAGTGACACGCTCAGCTCAGTTGCGTAACGTGAGTTCACGAAACCAAAATCGTTCCTCGCACACACACTCTCGCCACTTTTGGTGGGAAGCTGTCGGGCTGGAAGTTTGCCAGCGAAACCAATGCACCCTCGGAGATTCGCAGCGCGTAATTTTACCGGGACTCGAAACGTTCGTCTTGGGAAGCTGGCGGGGTAGCTTTTTGAAGCTAGGTCGGCTGGTGGCAAAATGAGAGTAACTACTATCGAGAACATCGTAGGTGTTCTTAACTTAATAATAAGATAATTCTAAATTCTATTTGAGATAAAATAATAAACTAGACCTACAAACAAACCTCGACAGATCTCTAATGACTATTTGAATGCTTGTTTATTTCTCCATTTGACGATTTGTTTTCTTGATCCTGGCCTTCGATTTGTACGTACGTGCGTGCGTGCGTCAACAGCATGCGCCATATCAAGCGATCGCATGAACGTACGTACGTGCGCTATATAGCGCATTGCCTATATAATAACAAAGGGCGCATTTTCAAGGCACTTGCGCCTTATTAAAGCACTAAATACGAAGCTAGAAGAGAGCTCGTGGGCGGCAAACTGTTCGTGATTCGTGTATTTTTACTGTTCTAATAATTTATGGGCGCATTTTTACGGAAAACACTTGCGCCTTGCCGTCTAGTTTTAGATGATTATGGGCGCAATTGGTGGTTTTATGAGCGCAAATTTCAAAAAAAGGGCACGTCCAGTTGGAAAAAAAGGCACGTCGGCCAGTTTGAAAAAAAGGGCACGGCCTTTTTGGCCGTGAATTTATCTTTTTTGGGGAGGGCACCACGGCCAGTCATAGGGGCATCGACGGCCTGGCCGTCGATGGCCGTCGATTAATTTAAGGCCTGTTATTTACATTTAATTTTCAGCAAAATCAAAAGTCCTGAAATATATATTATGTGACTAGATCTACGCTAATTTAAATTCAGGTAGACTAATATTTAAACTGATCAACACATCTCAATTCTAAACATAATCATCAAAATCACCAACGGCGATGCAATATAATTATGTTTAAGTTAAGATTTATCAACATTAACGGTCATCTGTTAGTCACTACAGCTACATCTAGACTCTAGTGTTAGTTAGTCGAGTGTCATTTGTTTGACAATTAAAATCTATTTTCACTGAAATAAAAAAGAGACAGAACAGAATCCCTCATTCAATGATTCAAACATATCAATTCATTACCATTTATTTACACAATAAAGATGCTTAGATTGAAATAGATGGACTAATTCATGATAATGTTACAATTATATATTTACTGCATGTGATTCCCACATTCACATTTTGCCATTTTTGGCAACAGAGTTCAAAATTAATTTCTGACTGCTTACCTTCAATCCACTTGTGATTGACTTTTCCAATCCAAGTTCACTGAAGCCGCTTTCCAGCTCATCTACTTGTCCACTCTCACCCCAATCCATTGTTATTGTGAAGTGACTTCAGCTCACTTTATTTTGTCTTTGACTTTGTACAAAATTGTATTCAACTCGTGGTTGACCTCACCAGCGGCCAACGGTGAGCCTTCGAGCCAGCGGTGCAGCGGGAGAGGAGCTTCACTGCACTGACGACAAACTCCGGAGGCAGACTCGAAACTCGTCTAGCTGGTCTGTAGAAATCCCCAAATTAAAGTAAAAATATTTCTCGTCAAGACTTGTCACCATTACTTTCAAACTGAAAAATTATTCCAATAATATCTTCGATGAAAAGAGGAGATAGACAACACTTCCTGTGGTTAATTTTGTACAAAAATTAACATTTTCGGACGAGCGTCGCAGGAGAGTTGGCGCTTCGCACTTCGATTTTCCTGACTACGAAAAACAACTTTTCAGCGTGCATGCAAAATTAAAAGCGCAAACACAGCTAGCGTTTGCTTCGTTCACTTGTCAACAAACTCTGATATATTTGAGTGACACTCGTGAGTAAGCGCGGTGAATGCTAGAGCTGCAAGTTCCTGAAACTTCTCAGTCATGTAAATCTTTGTATTTACAGGCCCTTTACAATTTCATTTGTCATTAAGGTGGCAGGTACTGCTAATCCTTCCAAAAAATATAAAAGTAACAAATAAAAACTGATTCCCCCATCTTCCCAAAATGAAATTCGAAAGAGATAAGCCAAGGTGGTATCGACTGTCAGTTCGTTGTTATTAATTATAAGATTTATAAGGCACCAATTACCCTTAAAAGCAATGGGAAAGGTGCACGAGTCCAAATAAGAAATCATATACACATAAATATAACATATCAATTAAGATTAAGACAAGTATAGCCCAAACCAAACAGATACAGTCTATAGATTTAAAAACAAAATTATAATCACATAGGGAAAGCGCTTCACAACGTCAATTTAGGCCTTCCATGATAAACGGTTGTTTTTACTTCAGAATATAACAAGTCAAGTATAAATGAGTGTAAAGATTTAGAGGGAATAATTATACTTTGAAGCAGAGCCATAATCTAATATAATTATATATTACATATTACATAAATGTTATGTTCAATAAAATAATGCAAAATATTATGAAAATAGAAAACGGAGCAAATTAAAAAAAGTTGGGGCCCTTGTGAAAATTGAAAAATAAATAGTTGCAAATCAAATTTATATTATTTCAAAGAGACAAACAGAAAAGAGGGAAATACTAATTTAGCCTATCGTGAAAAAAGATAGTTATTATATTATTTATTTCTGATGTTGCAAAATAATTGGGGTTATTGTTACTTGATTTAATGTGAAGTAGACATTTTTGGAGAATGATTCCATGCGTGAATTTAACTGCTGTACATTGCATTTACTATAGTTTATTTACCCGAAATATTTTTGCAGGGGCGTTTCTACACCATATTTAAATTTGCCTAATATTGGCTCAAAACTTGAGACAAGCAAGGAAATATTTGAAGAAAAAAAAAGCTAGGTAATTTTATCCAAAGATTTTTAGCAAACATTAAATGGGAATATGCTACCCAACATCACTCCTAATTCTGGTACTTTCATATACTGTATGTAACACTAAAATAAATACCTTATCATCCAGTCAAACTACCGTTAAGATTATAATGATTAAAACGCAAGATGGCGACATTGCACAAAACCATAGCGATTCATGCCCAAAACTGCCTATTCACACAAAACATGAGAGAAAATGCTAAGAGATGTTGTTTTATTTTATATATATTCTTTTATCTAACCCGAGTTACACCTTATGATTTTCATTTTAATATCTTAATATGAATCGTGAAATTATATGATAACAAAGTGAAACGCTTATTCTATCAATATTCAAAACTGTGAGAACAAAGACATTATCTAAAGTTATTGCTGATACAAGTAGCAGACGACACGCTGTACAACAGCCGATTTCTCGATCGACGCGCAAGCAATTAAAGTGAAGGAAATTGATCAGGAAATTGAAAGGTAAATATTTTTTGCTAAATGCGATGTATAGATGTGCAGTGATAACTTTTAGAAATATGGAATGTGGTTGTTTACCGTTTCATTTCCTTTGAAGAACTAATCCAATCAGATTTACTGTGTGAATCGTGAATGGCAAAGGTTCTCTAGCGCTATAGCTGCTCGAGCTACGAATGCAGATGAAGCCTTATGTAAAAATTTACCATGGGCTCGGCATGGGTAGTGGGATTGTCAGCACTCAGCAATTCGTTGCCATCGAGAAGCATGGAAGCTGTATGTAGAGATATATTAGAGAGGCTATACTGCTATACTGTGCAGTTTGCCATTGTATGAGATTAACATGTTTCCTTATATCAAGAATTCCCTGAATGAGAGTGATCTGATAATAAGTCAAATAGAAAATGAAAGTATTTAACTATTTATGGTAGAATATAATTATAATGATATGCATCTGTAAACTCATGAACTGACAAGTGAGACACAGCTCAGTGGCTCATGCAGTGGTAGTAGAGCTGTGTTTTTGTAACTGGTAGGGGCCTGGATCAAACACATTTTGATGCATTTGATGCAATCTTCAAGACAAAGGAAGTTATGGTTTGTTACTTTTGTTTAATTATAAGGGGGAATATCCCCCAATTTTGAAACAAATGTAGATAAAGTGAGATGGAGAGGATAGGTGAGAGGGGGGGGGGGGGGGGGGGGGGAGAGAAAGAAAAATAGAAATCAGAAAGAGGGAAGGAGTTTGAAGGTTGAGTGCTAAATTTCCACAAAATAACCTATAGTATGATAATAAAGACTTTTTATGTGAAAGAAAAAAACTAAAAACAAACAAACAACCCCACCCTGGATATGATTAGGATTTTGATACTAAAATTGTATTCTCCTTTTCTGTTATATCATTCATATAAGATTATTCAATACAATGGTAACAATGAAAAATGCGACAAATACTTAATCTATTGTGGATATGAGCAAGACTGGAAAAGTTATATAGATAGTTATTATTAATGATAATTTTTTTAATTATTTTTATTATTGTTATTGTCACTAATATTATTATTGTTGTTATTATTAGATATTGTTATTATTACTATTATTGTTGTGATAGTTATTTATATTGTTTATTATTATCATTGTCATTATAATTATTATTATATCGGCCAGAAAATCAATTAATGTGTAGTTCATTGAAAAATATAAAATTGGAAATCAGTGAATAAAAACCAAAAATGAAAAAGAATAGTTTGAATTTTCTTCCTCTCGTGCAGTTTGGTTTTGGAATTCTTGTACATCCCAACGCAAGTCCGATCAACTGTTCTTTGAAATTGGTGAGTTTTCATTATATTTCTTAACTATACCCACCTTATAAATCAATAAACTTACTAAATAATTTGTCTTTAAGATTGAGAGATCGCCCTTTGTAAGAAAACTAGGTCAAGCAGGCTTTATTTTAGAGGCCTCGATATAAATATCTATGCCAGACTGATGATTCAATTGCCATTTTAATGCAATAGACAACAGCTGCAAGCATACAATCTGTAAAACAAACTCTGGGAAAAACCTTCAACGGTGACATGATTTTTCCCGTCAAAGCGCATTACATTCTTGCATCCTAAGGCATTTAATACAAACTACCCAGTAGGAAGGAAAACAATGGATTTTATAATTATCTTCTTCTAACACTTTTGAGAGGAATGGATTTGATTGGAGTGATGGATGAATAATGATCCCTGAAGGATGGGAGGAAATCATTGACTCAGTGCCATAGTCTTTCCTGGATACGTGTCTGTCAGTGTGAGGGCTTCAAGGTCTGAGCTGATATCTGTATGCAACTGCAAGGCCTTTCTTCTTCCTCAATATTTCATGAAAAGATATATAATGTAAAAATTGAAAGTATCCCTATTCCCATGCGCAGTATACTGGAAGATGTATTTTTTAGGGGTGATTTTTATTTGTTTTTATTCTTTAAGAGGGGGGCTTGGGAGTTTTGGTTGTATTTTTTAAAATGAGCCTAACTTAAATTCATTTATAATCAAGAAAAATGGGGAGGGAGGGGGGTGCTTGAGCTTTGAGCCCCCAAGACTCTCCAGAGTTGTCATGGTCGAGTGGTTAAGTCGCCGGACTGTCGATCACAAGGTCAGCGGTTCGAGACCTGCCGCGGCACTAATGTCCTTTGACAAGACATTGATCTACATTTGCCACACTCAACCCAGGTGATGTAAATGGGTACCTGGCAGGAATTCATTCTTTGAAATGCTAGAGCGCCGAAATGGCAGCACAGCCGAAGCCGGGGTAATAATCTCTAAGTTTGGAAGCACTTAGTGATTGTAATAAGTGCTATTTTGAGTATTATTATTATTACTGCCTCTTTCATTCTGATGGTTTACTTTACACAAAACTATATGAAACTTTCAACATTTTTATTGTTGTTGCTCAATTATTACTCAATTATAAACGAAAAGCAATGGACATACTATTTGAATTCACAAGCGTCAACGAAAGATAGTTGCATAAGTTTTATTTGAAATGAAATTGACTTTGATTATTTAGGAATATACATCTGTATAACTATGTTGATAAATGAAGGAAGAATTTGATTTTGAGGTACTACATGGCAGACATTTGAAGGTATCGTCTGCCGAAAGCCTGAAAAAACACTAACTATACCTTTCTACATATAGAGTTATGCCCTTCTGGCTCTCTGGACAATTTTTTTTTTTTTTTTTTGGGGGGGGGGGGCCGGGGGGGGGGGGGGGCGGTTGGCTAAAAAGTGGATGATGTGACTTACATATAAAAATATATATTGTGATTGACAACCTGCCATTGTGAGGACCACATGATCACCCTTATTGTCTGTCATCATCATCATCGTCATCATCAGCGTTATCATCGTCATCGCTATTGTCATTATTATCATCATCATGGTTGAGACTACAACTTCATGTGTGGTAAGCATTATCATTTTTTGTTATCATTTAGGATCTTGTTTTGGAAGTTTAAAAGTTGCATAAATACATGTATATTAGATCTTATATTAGATATATATTTTATAGACCTAAAATATACAGAAATTCAGGCCAAGTCAGGCCAAAAAATCAATATAATCAGGGATTAACTTTTTCTAACAGATACATTTTTTGTTGTTTTCTGATCATTTAAAATTAATGGTAGGATCAGGGATTTTTATCCATGTTTTGTTAAAGAATTATACCTTTTCAAATGGAAAAGTGGAGAGGATGGATGCACTGTGATGAAGGCCTAATGCATGAGGGTGCCAAGCTTTTATTAGATCTTACCATTTGACACAAATATACCCATCAATAAAAATCTATGTAACACACAGGTTCACCCAAAGTACCTCAAAGGTATGAATACTGTACTATGCTTAGAAGATAGAATTACACAAATGAAATTATA